GCATTAAATAAACAAAAATTTTGGTTCTGAACTAAAGAAACTTGAAAATGATTTACAATCAACCGTTAGAAAAATCGAAAAACTAAATAGGAAGTTAACTAACGCCGAACATGCTGTGATTTGCATTAATAATAGCATTTCTGACAGTCTTAATCCAATTTAGTCCAATGCATATTAATCCAATGCATATTTAGATATATATGTAAATTAAAAAATAGCATCCGGGTTTGTTGTTAATCAGCTTCTGGATGATAACAATCTGGCTGGTTGTAGCGAGGTTTGATTGATCAGTCGGTGTCATTCCACAAGCCTCAACACGAATGACTGACTGAAACATCAGAGCCACACCGTGCATTAGCGTCTCCATAATAACAACAACAACAGTAATAATAATAATAATTATAATAACAGCATTAATAATAACAATAATAATAACCAAGCACCTCCCACCAACCAATCAATCATAGTTGAAGTTGCCATGACGACCGTTATTTATTAGGTCAGCTGAGCGATAATTAAAGGTTTCTAGTGGCGACGACGACGAGTAGCGATAATGCAGAGAAACAAAGAAACAGAGGCCCCACGATACGTTAATGTGTGCGCTATGATGTCTTTGCTCCTGGCTGGCGATTGATTGGCCGATTGCGTGTTTGATGTTTTTTAATGGTTCATTTTTGTATACTTTTTTGTTTGCTTGTATGTTTGTTTGCACTTTGGTATATATGTATGTATTCTTAATTGTATGTTTGAACGTTGTTTTGTATGTATATTTGTATATTCGTATGCTCGCGTATGTTTGTATGTGATTTTGTATATATATGTTTGTAAATGTTTATCAATTGTATGTGTTGTAATAATTTTGTATGCAAAATTAAATTATTTTTTTGTCTCGTTTGTATCAGCGTTTGTATAAAATATTCTGTTTAGTTCTTCATAGACCAAAATTATAATTATTAAGTTATGCACTTCTCGTTATTGTAAAATTTCAGTTACGTTCTAGTAATAATTTATGTCAAATTTTCAATACCTTCAAGTTATTTTAAAATTTTTCAGGCAAATTTTATGGATTCTACGCTTTACAAATGATTTGAATGGTTGTTATTGTTATGGCCTGCTTCTATTGCTGTCATTATCAGTATTGTTGTTGTTACTGATGTTATCAAATAAGTACTATTGCTGCTATGAGAACGACGCTGTAAGGGCAATTATGAATTTTATTGACCTACCATGCAATGAGATGCAATTTTATTATTTCCTATATATATACATACCCTTGATGCTCTGTTAATTTTGCATTAAGTCTTCGATTTTATGTAGACATGGATTTTATTTGGAAATTTTTTTAATATTTAAAAAAAAAATAAATATTTGATTGTTGTCTGCGGTGTATTAAGCTGACAAGGCAGACGTTGTGTTATTCGTGTTATTCTCACTTGGGTAATAATTATCTTCTTTTTAATTATTCTTTAAAAATCTTAATCACTTTAATCATCATTATAGTTGTAGTAGTCATCATCTTTATCATCGGCTCAATCATCTTAATCTCCGTGAACCTAATTGCAATCAGTATACAAACATACATTTTTTTGGTATTAAGTTGACAAGACAGACGTTGTGTTATTCGTTTTATTGTTCTTCGTGTTATTCGTTGTGTTAATCATCTCATTGCATACAATCATCGCAACCACCAACATTTACCACGGTCGTCACCATCGTCGGCGCTATTACCACTATTGATTTCAAATTAGGGGTGGGCTTTATTGCAGGAAGGCAGTGAAAAAGTCATTCAATGCATGTACCCTGACAACATCATAAGAAATCATACTTACACACACACAAACATGCAAACTTACATACAAACATACATATATACAAACATACATGATACATATATACATTGATACAAACATACATACATCAATACATACATATATATATATATATATATATATATATATATATATATATATATATTAATATATCAATATATAAAATTTACATACATATTACATACATACAATTTACATAAATATATAAAAACATACAAGCATACATTGATACACACACACACACACATAAATACACACATACATACATGCATACTGTTGGTCTGGTCTGTCGTTTGTGTGGCGGTCATCAGTTGCTCCATTCCGCATTAAATGATTACAACCCCCGGTTCTTCTCCAAGGCTTCAGTACCCGTTCTTAAAGAGCCCTCGGAAATTTCCGCACTGGATGGAAACGCCCGGATGGCTGCACATTGAATCCTTGGAGAACCGCTAGGTGCCTGGAGTGGGACGTTCCGGGCACGTGCGCTCAACCAGCAAGGAAGGTGGTTTGGCCGGATGAGAAGATTAAAAATATGAAGGTGCCCTGCCCTCGATGGATTTTTTACCTGTTTGCATCGAGGTTTTTGGCCCGATGGACAACAACACTTCCAAATTTTTTTTAAATATTTGCAAAATGATAAGTGTCAGGTCCGGCGACAACAGAGAGTTATTTTTCGCCATGGATCATATCTCTTGTTTGCTGCAAAGGTTCTTGCGCACCTGTGTTACCGAAATTGTTCAATTAAACGCCGACGTGAGCGAATGACGAGCGAATTTCGCTACGTCCAAATTATGAATAATTATATTATGAAAAAATATTCTTGTAAATTATTATGGACAATAGTATTATGCGTAATTAAGATAATTTATTTATATTCCGTGAGGTGTTGTTGTGTGAGCACGTGCGGACGTGTTAACATTTGATCAGCACGGGGCATATTTATGGTCAGACAACAAGCTGCGATTATTTTGATCTATATATGCATGTATATACGTGTGTGTGTGTGTGTGTTTTCATGTTTGCTTGTATGTGTATATTGTATGTCCGTTTTGTTGTGTTTTCTTTGCTTGTACGATTGTACTGTACGTTTTTATGATTGCTTGTATGTTTGTTTTGTTGCGTTTTGTTTGTATGTTTGTACGTACGCATGTATATGCGTGCGTGCATAATTCTTTCGCTTATATATATGTTTATATGTATGTGTGTGTGTGTGTGTCTCTGTTTGTTTTATGTATTTTTATAAAAATCTAGTTATTATTTGTTATTTTGATAAGATATTTGAACTAAGAAGTATGTGTGAGCGTTTGTGTGCAGGCTTATATACTTGTTTGTGTTTTTCATGTTAATTTTTGTGTGGTTATATCTACACGTACGTACATACTTTAAGAATGTTTAACTTCTCTTGTGTTGTTCATCTCGGCATAATGTTTTATGTGGTATAGTCTTTTGTTGCCAAAAGCAGCAGTGTATTGCATTTATGTATGTATATATGAATGTATGTTTGTTTGTATGTATGTTTGTTTGTTTGTATGTATGTATGTATGTATGTATGTATGTATGTATGTATGTATGTATGTATGTATGTATGTATGTAAGTATGTATGTATGTATGTATGTATGTATGTATGTATGTATGTATGTATGTATGTATGTATGTATGTATGTATGTATGTATGTATGTATGTATGTATGTATGTATGTATGTATGTTGTATGTGTGTGTTTGTGTGTATAATTCTTATTTTGCAGGTTTGTTTGTTTACATAAGGGTTATTTACCGGCTTCCGTTGCTGAACTTCAGAAATGTTGGACGATGTTTTTGCTAAAATGTAACTTGAGGCCATCAAACTAAGTTAAATTCGAAATGTTGGAAATAGAAGAATGAATGAATGGACAAATGGATAGATGAACATTTTAACAAATTTATGGATGTATTAACAAATAAAAATATGAATGAACGAACAGCAAAAAGATTGAATGAATGAATGAATAAATGAATGAATTAATTAATTAATTATTTAATGAATGAATGAATTAATTAATTAATCATTGAATTAATGAATGGCTGGATGAATGAATGAAAGAACGAACGAACGAACGAACAAAAGAACGAACGAACGAACGAATGAACGAATGAATAAATGAATGAATACTGTTGTTGTTGTTGTTGTTAATGTTATCATATATGGTGTAGCACACTAGATGTGAAAAAAATAATTTAATGGTCATTGTTAGTGTAGTATTTTTCCGTTGTTTATGTGCGATTTGTGACTGCTTGTTCATGTTTGTGTGTGTTTGTTTATGTCTGTGTGTGTTTGTGTGTCTGTTTATATTTGCTTGTGTTCTTGTCTGCTTGTTTATGCATTCAATTAAGTCCTTTGTTTATTCATTCATTCATTCATTCATTCATTCATTCATTCATTCATTCGTTCGTTCGTTCGTTCGTTCGTTCGTTCGTTCGTTCGTTCGTTCGTTCGTTCGTTCGTTCGTTCGTTCGTTCATTCATTCATTTATTCATTCATTCATTCAATAATTTTTTTTCATCCGTAAATATAATTCCATCATTAAATCATTAGTTACCTTATTGAAAAAACTATCTATATCTTAATTTTAGAAAGAAAACTAGATATATTTATTTGTATTATATATTCATATGTGTGAGTGTCTGTGCGTTCCTTTGTGGGTGTGTGTGTGTTACGTGTGTGTGTGTTTGTGTGTGTTTGTGTGTTTGAGATCCGTGCAGTTAGTTTTAAAACATTCAAAACCATCTCACAGAACTTTTCGTTCATTCGGTAGTTTGATAACACTGGGCAACAAAAAAAATATTTTTTTTTGTATCCTTAACTTTTTTAGTCAAATTATACTAATTTTGGGATAAGAAAAACAAAAATGCAAACGAAAATTTTTTATTAGCTCTAGTTTCTGAGATATACAACAACAAAAAAATTTTTGGTTTTGCTTATTCACAACATAGCAATATGACATATAATTTACTTATTTTAATAATATTTAAAGTGCATTTAGTTTTTTCAATAAAGATTACATTCCAACAGTTTTAAACAATGAAAAATAATATATATAAAGAATATTATGGAATATTTTCGCGCGATTGTGCCATTTTTGCTTTCCGCCTGTATGCGAGCTCTGGAGCATCCCTACATATAAACCAACATTAATCTGCAAGCATAGCTTCATTCCAACGACCCTCATATCTTTTTTCCATTACAGAAATATCTTGGTGGGACCTTTCTCTATGTTCATCACTAACAGCTCCACAAAGTGGAAAGAAGTCTAAATGTGAGTTGAGGAAGTGAATCTTCAAGGACATGTTACGTCTTAGTTGATGGCATTTTTGCAGAAGTACTGTTAACAATTGGATGTAGTTATCATCTCTTCTGTGGCCTAAAAATCCACAAATCATTCCCTTGAGAGATTCCCAAGTTTCTTTTTCTTGCCCCTTCAAAACTACATCAAATGCAGGATCTTTCACAAGTTCATGTATCTATGGTCCAACAAAAATACCCTCTTTTACTTTTGCATCACTTAGTTTTGGAAATTTGTTTCTTAAATACTTAAAAGCCTGTCCATCTTTGTTCCTTTGACAAAATTTTTCATTAAACCCAGCTTAATGTGTAAGGATGGAAGAAGTACATCTTTCAGCAACAAAATTTTTGTCACCTTTGTTGAGATTTCTTGCAGGCCAGTCCTTTTGTGTGTAATATGAAATTTTGTCTCTATGTCACACATACACAAGAAGCAGCAGTATTTGGTATAGCCTAATTGCATTCCTAAAAGTGTGGCAATACTTTTAGGAATACTTTTAGGTCACCACAAATTTTCCATTTGTGTTCGTTGTAATTGATTGGGTTAAGAAGAGTTTTCATATTTAGGTAAGTTTCTTTCTTGTGAGCTGCATGGCCAATAGGAACTGATAGAAAATGATTTTCATTGTGCAGTAATACAGCTTTCAAGCTTAGCTTTGATGAATCTATGAATAATCTCCATTCACTTGGATCATAGTTCAAATTGAGACAATACATTAATCCATAGATATCAACGCAAACAACAAGGTTATTTTTCTTCTCAAAAAAAACGAAAAAGATTTTGTTGCCGTTTCCTGAAATAGGAAACTTTAACATCAGATTGGAGAAGATTCCACTGTTTTAATCTAGACCCTAAAAGTTCTGCCATTTCCAGTGACAAGTCAAGATCTCGAACGAGGTCACTTAATTCTGCTTAACTCCATCTGTGTGGTGCATCATCTGTTGACACAAAATCAGAATCATTTGATGTGGAAGGCTGGCTTTCTTTTTCTTCTTCTATTTCATTTGTGCCTCCATAAATGAAGCATTATAGATAGCCAAGAGGCAAAATAAAAAAATTTTTCAAAAAAATAAAAATTTATACTCTCGAGGATAGAGTTTTGCTTTTATCTTTTGAACTAGAGCTAATATGTAATTTTTAATGTCATTTTCGGATTCAGCAGGTGGAAATACATAAGAAACAACTAATTTTGGTTCAGATACAAAAACACTGTTGAGCAGTGTAATCTGTCATGTTTGTTTAATTCATCAGACGCTTTTATGACCTCTATGTGTGACGATAGATGTGTTCTGTACAACATTAGCTAGGTTGATACAAACACCTAAACACACACACAGACCAGCATACAACATCCAACCGAAATGCAACAATACAATTGATACAACAGTTATATACACAGTATATACATACACAGACAAGCTTGCAGTAGCATGCATACATTGAAAAACTTACACAACTGTAATGCAAAAACATACAAACATACGTGGAACGCCGTACAGTATTATGTATACATACAGAAACATACAAACATACCTTAATACCAGACATACAAACATACATACAGTGACATAAAACATCATACAAACATTTGATACCATAGAGAAATGAAAAACACAAGCGCAGGTTATACACTAACGTACGGTAACATACAAACAAACATATATAAATATACAAAAATACGGTAACATACAAACAAACATATAAAAAATACAAACATACAGTAACATACAAACAAACATATATAAATATACAAACATACAGTAACATAAAAACAAACATATAAAAAATACAAACAAACATACAAAAACATACAAGCATACAAAAACATACAAACACACACACACGCCTGCATCCACTTTCATTTACACCATGCTGCAAGAACATCCGCTTAATACCACGTACATAATACTTAGGGTGTTGATAATGATGTTGTTGTTGTTGATGATCATGATGATGACGATGATGATAATGATGATGAAGACGATGATGGTGATGATGGTGATGATGGTGATGATGATGATGACGACCATGATGATGATGATGATGATGATGATGATGATGATGATGATGATGAGGATGATGAGGATGATGATGATGATAATGATGATGAAGACGATGACGATGATGATGATGATGACGATGACCATGATGATGATGATGACGATGATGATGATGGGTATAAAAAATCTCACGTTACATCAAGCTGATTTCTATAAACACAACAAAATCATATACATGTACAAACACACACACACACACATACATAAACACACACACAGACACAATAACAAACTCACACACGCATAAACACACACGCATAAACACACAACAACAACATCGAGCAGAACAAAAGTTACGACATCACGTACACACACACACACCCAGAACCATTATATCGGTGATAGATTTATTGTATTTTTGCTTTGTTTATTCGTTGTATTCTACGTTTGTATGTGTGTTTGTATGTGCGTGTATCTTTGTATTTTGTATGTTTTATGTATGTATAATGTATGTATGTTTGTATGTACGTCTGTATGTATGTTTGCTTATAAAACTATGTATTTGTATTTGTATGTGTGTATGTTTCGTGTGACTATTCTTATGTTAGTTATCTTATAAACGCATTTCAAGGGAAATTTTTTTGTTTCCTGTAACAATGTTTTGCTTTATTGTATATCAGATATACCCTTACCATTAAGCCTTTTATCATTTTAGATTTAATATAAATTATCATTTGTGATTTCATATCAATAAATTGCAATCTTTTTTTGTCATGTTTAGTTACATGTAAGTTTTTTTTACTTTTTTCCGATCTAAATATAAAGGTCTTTCTTCATATTTCATATTTTATTACATCACTCATCATTATTGTTATTGTTTTGTTGTTGCTGTTGTTGCTGTTGTCATTGTTGTTGTTGTTGTCAATTTTAAACTACATTATAGATAAATATATATATCCATGTATACATAAACTACTCCTGCTAACTTCAATTCAGTCCATGTCTAGGTATTGTTATAAAAATGAACAAGAAACGTGTTAAATTGTAGACAGATGAATTTCTTGATACATTTTTAAGTTGTTTGAGTGTTTCGCCTTTTTTAATTTTAAAATATGCCGTACGTACATTTTTTTGTGAATAAATTTGTATGTATGTGCACGTATGCTAATTTGTATGTATGTGTACATATGCTTATTTGTATGCATGTACGTACGTATGCAAATTGCCATATGAACAATTGAAACAGCATAACTCGAAGGAATCGCATTATAAATTAATCTTCTTTCTTTCTCGTGCCTTATCCTTTCAGGACATTGGCGACCATCGACCTCCGCAAAACCCGATCTTTGACACTTTGTAGCAGTTGAAATGTGGTGATATTCAACAAGTGAAACAAGGACTTCACGGATGTTGTTTGTTGTTGACCGCGGTCTCTTCTCTCTGCAATCTTTTCAGTAGTTGTTAGATTATCAATTCTTTTCTTCCGCATGACGTGATGAAAAAAACTTTGAAATATATGTTTATAAATCAATAAATTAACAAATTAAAATTAAAAAACTCACACAAAAATACATAACATACCGAAAACTGAAGGTGAATTACTCCAAAAAAGTTAATTAAAAAAAATTAACAAAAAAATGATCATAAAACATGAGAATATTAATGAATCTTTTAATGAAAACCACGCAAAAATATACATCATCAGTTCACACACACACACACACACACACACACACACACACACACACACACACACACACACACACACACACACACACATACACACACACACACACACACATAAAATTATACAAACAATCATACAAGCAAACATACAAACATCCATTTACAAACATACAAACCTTCATACAAAAACACTGAAGCACTTATACAAAAAACAAAAACATTAATACTAAAACCATAAAAATATTTTGACCGAACATTTATTAGAAACACATATAAACACTCATACAAAAATCATACAAACATTAATATCAAAAACATACAAGCTAAAAACACTAATACAAACATTAATACCAAAAACATACAAGCATACACACAAAAAAACATACAAACATTTATACAAAAAACATACAAACATGCGAATGATAATAACATTGATTTATTGCGGCAAGCCTTCAACCCTGACCAAGGCATTAATCACAATATTTAAGACATTTAATTGGAATGGCCCGCTCGAATTTTGATTAATTTGTTGCTCTTCTATCATTTTTTCCATTTTTCTGCTAAAATTTTAAAATTCATTTTGCGTCAGAATTAATTTTCTCATTCTTTTTAAATTTAAATTATTTTTTTCTTTATTTATTATCTTAAACGAAACTACTACTACTGCTGCTATTGTTGCTGCTACTGCTGCTACTACTACTACTACTGCTATTACTAATACTACTACTACTACTACCACTACTACTACTACTACTACTACTAACAATAATTCTACTACTACTACAACCGCCACTGTTCAGTAGCAGCCTATGTTTTTAATTAGGATGACACTTAACGCGTGGATTGTACGAATGTACGTGTTTGATCGTTGAATTGAAAGTCTATAGGCTTAACGTTGAACGTCTTACTTGAAGGCAACATTTATTTTATTATTTTGAAGTTATTACTATTAAATTACTATCAAATTTACCCTTGAGTTTGTTTTGGTCTAGTTTAGTGAACTTTTTTTATATGGTTTTTAGATGCTAAACCATTAACCTTTTTGTATATTTCAATTAAGAAGATAACGATAATGTTGATGAAGATAGTGAATGATTGTGATGACGAAAGATGATGACGACGACGATGATAACAAAGCCAATGCTGATAACAGTTATAACATAATGCACATCTTTAAAAAGTTTATACCGATGTCATTAACTTGGCTACATAAGTGGATCCAATTGTAAATCGTACTTGTGCTAATTGGAACCTTTTAAAAAAAATATATTTGTCGGAAATTGTCCCAAACTCAAACCTCAACCCACATGATGCAGTTAAAGAAGGACACCGATTATGACGATAATTTTGACGATTAGGTTTTAGTTTTTCATTTATTTTCTTCACATTTTCATTCACTCATATACTCGTCTACTCGGAGATATTTGTATATGAAAATTTATGATGATGAACCCGTGTCAATAATAATCGTCGGAACGATATTGCCACTGAATTAAGTTTCCTAAGTACACATACACTCAAGCACCAACTTTATATTTCTAACAAGTCAGGGCATATACATAAACAAATAAACCCAGAAAAAAAGGGAAAAAGAGAGAGAGAGAAAGAATGATAAAATGTTAGAAAAACAAAATCACTTCTAGAATGAAACTTAACAAACATAATATACACGCACAAACACGCACACATACACACACGCACACATACACACACGCACACATAAATGCACACGTACATCTATTACGAACATACATAACATACCTACCCACAAGCCAAGCCTGCGTCTGTAACATTCCAATACAAATCAATTGAATTGATCGCCAGTAGCATACGGTCATATCCGATCCGATTCGAGACGATACGATACAGAACGATTCTAGATTGATAACATGCAAGGCAGCCATAGACCTTTAACCAGTTATTTATCTACGCTGATTTATCTATGCCGAGGCAGTCGATTTATTCGTCTATGGTATGGTACGCCGAAACGCCGTCTAATGAACTCTGGGATTTATTATTTTGCATAACGAGTTTGGCTTTCTACATTTTTTTTCATCCGTTTTCTTCTAAAATAGAATAAAATTTTTGTTTAATTTTATCTTTTCATGAAATCATAAAAAAGTTGATAATATTTTTTGCAATGGAATAACTTCAGATAAATATTTTCAATAATAAATAGATAATTTCATTTTATTTGTGAACGAACGAACTCATCCAGACATTTAATTTTGCAAGCAATATTATCGATCCGTGATTTATTTTAGATATCTTGTTATAGGAATCAATAAATAATGTACAGTACACACTTCCAATTGACTATAAAGATGTTTTATGTTCACTTGTTGAGATAGGTATACGCATATGAAGATGATGCTGTTTGTACGCATTTGTACAAACACGTGCAAACCTGTTTGATATGTACTTCTTATTTGCTTGAACGCCTCAGTGAAATATTTTACACATCCGTGTGTATAGGTATTCAAGATTAAAAATTTCTTGTATAGTTTGGTTTTAAAATGAACATACCAACCACAGTTACTTCCTTCAGGTCTGAAAATGATCACATTCATATTTATTGATGTGATATTATACATGGAATTGGCACTATTTATGTAAGTGTTTATAAATAAACATCCCATCAGTTAGGTACTTATATCTGGACTACAGTTTATATTTACTATTAAAGTGTACAATACACACGCGTACCTCAAAGTTTGCGTATTTTGTGCCCACACACACCAGGATACTAACCGTATTTACAATAATTAATAGATGCAACGAGAATATATGTCTTCGTATATTTTTGTACACGTTAGCGTGAAAACTGGGTTTATTCTTATTATTAATACGCCAAAAATACGTATTTTGTACGTACATAGGCAGGCTAAACCGTACGCTCGTGTTGGTCGTTAGAGATGGAGATGCTATCTTAATGTTGAATTTATGATCTTGCACGAGTCTCTTCTATGCACGCCTCCGAGAATTATCTACTGTCCCTAAGATTCTGTGTGTATCTTTTTGTATTTTTAGGTTTGTTTATTTCGTCTGCTGTTTGTTTAACTTTTAATTTGTTTATATATTAGTACGTTTATTTGGATTTGACTAACAGTTTTTTGTGTAGCAAAGTTAGATGGAGTTTTCATTATGTTAATGTGGATGTGTGTCTGTTGTTCTCTCTCTCTCTCTCTCTCTCTCTCTCTCTCTCTCTCTCTCTTTCTTTTTCTGTGTTTGTGTGTGTCTTGCTTGGCATTGATCATTTAATTACTTGAATATATACCGGTAGAAAATTGTTTGTTTTTTTACCGTGTGAAAATTTTTATTTGATCGTTGGGTGCGTGATTGCAAACAACAAATTTTTGCTGATTACCAAAAGGAAAAAAGTTGTTGGTGTGTATACAAATACAATTTTTCATGTCAATTTTTGAAGTAAAAGATTCTTTTATAATTTTTTTTCAAATTTGCAAATTTTTGAAAAATAATTTTTCGACTTTGTTTCGTGCACTGTAGCATTGCATGCACGTAGTTTTGTCCATATTTCTAATCAATAGACATCTCCTTCCTTATCTGATTTCTCTAACTCCATAAACAACTTCATGTGCATATATGTTCACGTATACACGCCTGCACTAGATATACAAAAGTAGAAATACAAATACATGCATACACAATAAGCATACATATATATGTTTGTAAAATATTTTCATGATACATATTTAGGTCTATAATATCCAAATTGGTTTCCAGCTTGCGTACGAATCCAGCCACTGCAACACAGAAACGGGCGCCTCTAACCACTACACTATCTCACCGTGCTATACAGATGTGTATCATTGTGTATTCTACACACACACGTATGTTTTGTGCGGGCTCTGATCTGCTCGTCTCATTATCTCCAAAATAGAATTAAGTTTTAAGAAGAAATTCTCTGTGATGGCAGTGCGAATTAAATGTTGTTTATTCGACCTGCCTGGCATATCTGCTAGCAGGTTTATGGACTGTTTAGTTCTCTTGCTTTCCTTTTTTTATCACCTGCTTATAGCTATTAATATTGTTGTTAAAATTATTATTGTTAGTTGTAGTAGTAGTAGTTAGTAGTAGTAGTAGTAGTAGTAGCAGCAGCAACAGCAGCAGCAGTGGTAGTAGTAGTAGTAGAAGTAGTACTAGTAGTAGTAGTAGTAGTAGTAGTAGTAGTAGTAGTAGTAGTAGTAGTAGTAGTAGTAGTAGTAGTAGAAGTAGTAGTAGTAGTTAGTAGTAGTAGTAGTAGTAGTAGTAGTAGTAGTAAAAGTAAAGGGACTATTCAAAAAAAGATCTTCGCGTGTGATTAAAAATTTTTATTTTAAGATCCTAAAATCCGGACGAATGTTCATAGATATCCCATTAACATGAGCGTTAGAATTGGCAAAAAAGAAAGATAACTCACAACAATTAAAACTTTTTGGTCTTTCTCTCTCTTCTTTCTTTTTCTCACACTCTCTTTTTTATCACTCTCTTTTTCCTTCTTCTTCACATGTATTTCTTTTAGAAACATATATTTTTAAGCATATTTACAAATTGAATCGAACGAGCAACCACAAATGACAACACACACACACACACACACACGTACAAGCAGACATAGGCAATGCATATACACGTATTCACACAGAAACAAACAAACACAAATACACACACGCACACAAACACATGAGCACTTTAACGTAAGAAAAATGTGCGCTTGTCTTCCTAACAACATACGTGACGCAAAGTGTTTAAATTGCATTTAAGTAACAAAAACATCTACGTACGTAATTATATCCGTGTGTGTGTGTGTATGCGTGTGTGTATGTGTGCGTGTGTGTTGTTTGTGTGCGTGTGTTGTGTGTGTGTGTGTGGCTGTGTGTGTTGCATGATGTCTCGCTCTATAATAACGAGAAATAATGTAACATAGTGATATTCAATTATAGCATTTTGAGCAATTAAGCATTGAGTTTTTCCTAATGACAAGATGTAACGTTAGCCGTGAGAGGATTGAAGGATATATTTACGGTGGCGGTGTCTGTGTGTGTTTGTTTGTTTGTGACTGTGTGTGTTTGTTTGTGTTTGTGTGTGTTTGTTTGTGTCTGTGTGTGTGTTTCAGTCTGTGTGTTTGTTTGTTTGTTTGTGTGTATGTGTGTTTGTGTGTCTTTGTTTGTGTCATGTTGTTCGTGCTTGCCTCTATTTATTGTTCATTACAAGGAAGCTCTGAGATGTACAGAACTGCTTACATATCATTCTATACTCTACTCATATTTGAACTTTAAGAACACGAAGACTGGATCATCCACACCACACGATACGCACACGGCGCACACACAAATTCAGTTCGTATGCACACTTTGAGAGGATAATTATATATTTAGAAGACAACAAATTCTGAAGATCATGTAGTTAAATGACTAAACTTAATATGGTAGCAGTAAATTTAAATGAATATTATTATTCAATCAATTAGTTAATTAATCAATTAAATAGTTAATTGATTAATTAATTTATTTAATATATATTATTTTTATTAATTAATAAAATTTTACACCCGCCTTGCCACAGGAAGGGCTCAGAAAAGGGGGCAGGAGCTTGGTGCCCCAAGCAGCGGAACGAATCCGACATCGTGGACGACTGGCTGGAAGTTGACCTTCAAGAACTCAAGGTCGTGAACTTAATCGAGACTCAAGGACGATTCGGCAATGGGCAGGTAAGTGATGCTGTTACAAATGATGGCGATGATGTTGATTATGAGGATGATGGCGATGATGATTATGAGGATGATGGCGAGGATGATGATGAATATGTGATGATGATAATGACGATGAGGACGATAATGACAACAAAACAACAACAACATGATCATCATCGTCATCATCATCATCATCATCATGGTCGTCATCTTCACCATCATCGTCTTCATCATCATCATAATCATCATCATCATCGTCATCATCAAAACTTCATAGGGGAAAGAGTACACTGAGAATTACAGGGTTGAGTACAGGCGCATCAAAGGAGGGCCTTTCATAAGATACAAAGATAAGAGTAGGAGGGAGGTGAGTGAATGAATGAATAAATGAATGAGTGAATTGATGATGGAATAAATGAATGAATGAATGGCTAGGTGAATAGATGAATGAATGGATGAATGAATGAATGGATGGATGGATGGATGAATGGATGGGTGATGAATGGTTGGGTGGATGAATGGATGAATAAATTAATAAATAAACGAATGATGAATTATTGAATAAATAAATTGATAGAGAGAGTAGTTAATGAAACGGAGATGGATGAACATTGAATGGCGTATTGATAAACTAATGAATGATTGACTGAATGAATGAACCTGTGAATTTGTAAACAAATAAATAAAAAAATGAATAAATAAATGAATGATTGAATGAATGATTGAATGAATGAATAAATGAATAATGTTTATAAAACTATAAAATGAATAATTAACTAGTTGAACGAGCTTCTTAAAATTAAATTGATCTTACGTATTATTAGATAAAATTGCTTTCTATTCACACGTTTGTCATCATAATCACCATCGTCGCCATCATCATCACCATCATCATCACAACCATCATCATCAACATCATCATGAACATTATCATCAACATCATCATCATCACCATCAACATCATCATCAACATCATCATCACCATAAACATCATCATCAACATCATCATCATCACTATCTACATCATCATCAACATAACCATCATTATCATTTTTGAACACCTCCATTAGTCACTTAGATTAATGATCTCGCTGATGATTGAGCAGATGATTGGTGGAGGAGATGATGACGATGATGATGAAGACGACGGTGATGATGTTTATTATTTTATTATTATTATTGTGTTATTGTTGCTTACAATAATAATAATGATGTCAGCGATGATTATGATGAGGATCCTTGTTATGATGAGGATGATGATGATGATGACAATGATGATGATGAAAATGATGATGATGCTGATATTAGTGATGCTGCTTATCCTGATAATGATGTGAGCACAATGGTGGTAATTATAGTTAAGATGATAATGATAATGATGACGATGATGATGACAATGTAGTTTACAAAGATGTTGATGATGATGATACTTTTAAAGATGATGATGATGACGATGTTTTTGATGATGACCGTAAATAATTGAGCATTCGCATTATCTGGTCTTAATTTTCTAGTAGATAGATAGACGAACGGACTGATTGATTGATGAATGAATGAACGAATGAATGAAGGAATGAACGAACGAAAGAACGAACGAACGAATGAATGAATGAATGAATATGAGGAGGGGGAAAATAGTGAATGAATGAGTGAGTGATGGGTGGAGAATATGAGCTGAAGATGGATTGAATGTAGATAACTTAATACCATGAGGTGCAATGAAGCAGTAAATGAATGGATACAAAAATGAATAAAATAAACAGAACGAATGATTGAAGAAATGAATGAAAAATTGAATGAGTGAACGAACGAACAAACGAATGAATTAACGAGTGAATAAATGGATGAACAAATGTATGAACAAATAAATAAACGAAGAAATGAAAAAAAAATCATGAACGAAAGAACGAACGAATAGTATGAATTAATGAACAGACGACAAATTTGAAAAAAAATTATACCAGAGAAGCATTCAGATATCTTCAACAATCATTAATTACCAATTCTTACCCTAACACTAAGCTTCCATAATTTAAAAAATTGAGTTTATTTTAGACAAGGAAAAAATTTTAATTTAAAAAAATTGTCAAATTTATCTCGGAAAAATAATTAAAGTGAAGCCAAACAGGCAACCGAAACTCAAAATTGAAAAGAAAAAAATTAAATGCATCAGTAAAGCGTCGTAAAATGTCTTCCAATAAAATCGCCTTTCTGAAAAATTAATTAAAATAAAATAGAATTAGTACTTATTTGTGTGTGTGTGCTGTGTGCGTGCGTGCGTGTGTCTGTGTGTGTGCTTGTGTGTGTGTTTGTGAGAAAAATTTTGTGAGAGAAAATTATAATTCTTTTCTCTTACCCTGAAACTAGATAGGTAGGTAGGTAGGTAGGTAGGTAGGTAGGTAGGTAGGTAGGTAGGTAGGTAGGTAAGTAGAGATTGCTATGTTGCAACGATGAAATATTGCATCTGATAAATGCAGGCTGGGTTGTAAGGTCAGCTATAATTGATTAATATTCTGGTCTGCATATAAATCATACGTCATCTTGTGCGTATATACCATACGCATAGGTCCTACGTACAAACATTCTTATAGTCTATGTGATGCTACAATCTTCGCGAAAACAAACAACCACATTTGCATGAATGAAAAATTATCTTACAAACATAGCTACTCCTTACCTAAATACAGAGCTAGGTATTTAAAAGCTGGATCAACATACAAACATCAACATACACATGAAAAATTATCTTACAAAGATAGCTACTCCTTAGCTAAATACAGAGCTACGTATTTTATAGCTGGATCACCATAGCTATTTACAGAAGCAAAAGCTAAACAAAATAATGATTGTACATAAACATAGCCTTAGCTCTATTTTAAAAGATAGTCATAATGTGAAAATATTTGTGAAAGATTTTATAACTTAAAAATACTTACTCAAAATATATTAATTATATTAATAATATAAATATTATTGTAATTATTATATTATTATGTACAAATTATTCTGAGAAGGTATTCGAACCACGTCACCGCCATAATTGGAACAGGCCCCATTACCATTACACCACCATGCCAGCCATGTCTATCCGTTGTAATTGATAAAATATTTCTGGACATTAAACTCGAAATTTAATTTTTAAAAAATTCAAACAACTGAAATTTTTGTTATTTATAAAAATATCCTTAAAAAAACTTTCAAAAAAAATCCACATTCACCAGTTATTCAAAGGAAACAGGGACACACACACTGCGGAAATCAACGAGCTGGACCCCCCTATTATTGCCAGGTGGGTACGAATTCTGGTCGTCAAGACCCACATCACACCCTGCCTGCGATTGGAGTTGCATGGTTGCGTCTGGAGAGGTAGTGTCAAGCAGTTCATTATTATTTTTAAAATTTTTTTGTTTTTTTTTTGTTTTTGAGAATTATTTATATTTTCATTTGAAATGTGTTTTATTCATGAGAATTTATCTCTTCCATTATTTTCATTTCACTTTTTCATTCATGCAACATTTTCATTTTATGAAGCATTTAAAAAATTTGAAAAAGTTGACAAATTTGAAGTGTTGGACTATACCGCGTGGCGTGATTTTTTTTAGTAAATTATTTAACCTTTTTGTTATATTTTATATGGGCTCAATAGATTTACCATCAAGCACTTTTGAAATTTTCAGACGGCCTCCTCTCGTACAGTATGCCTCAGGGCGACAAGAGAAGCCCCGACAACGACTTTTCCGACCTCACTTACGACGGCAAACTGACGATGATTGTTGTCAACAATCTCAACAATAACAACAACAACAACATTAGCAGCAGCTACAACAGCAGCAGCAATAACAACAAACTCAACGTTGTACTTGGCAGCTGGAGTGCCGATGCAAAAAACAACATTTTGTTTATAAACAACAACAACAACAACAACAAACTGAACAGCAGTAACATCTACAACGAAGATTTTGCAGACGATTCCACACACAATCGCCACCATCACCATAACCAATATTTCAAACATCATCACCACAGCTCCCAGAAATCAAAACAAATGACAAACAACATCGTCTCAAGCAACAACGCACCATCAGCCACTACGACCAACAACAATAACGCGCAAAACAGCAGCGCCAGTTTTGTATACCTCTCTGGAGGGTTGGGCCAATTAACCGACGGAGCGGAGGGCCACACGAACTTCAGAGCGGACGTCGACAACAGCGGTCGCAAGGGTTACGAGTGGGTCGCCTGGCGCAACGACACCGCTTCCGCCATCATAGGCCAACTTGGTAGCCATGGTCGACCAGTCGTCACCCTAATATTCGAATTCGAGAAACCGAGAAATTTTACATCCGTTCGAATGCACTGCGGCAATAGATTCAACATGGACGTGCGAGTTTTCCAGAAGGCCATCCTGACATTCAGCTTCGACCGCTTCGACGATTTCACCACATCGGATTCGACTCAGAAGACGAGTTCCGTATCGAGTAATCCGTCTGATGGGAGTGCGGGAGAAGTGATTTTTGATAAGAGAGAATCGTTAACCTACATATACAACAGGGATATTCTACTAGATTTCCCGAGAAATGTTATCATCAATATCGGATGCAAGATCGGTCGGTTCGTCAAAGTGGAATTATTTTTCGACGCCAGGTGGATTATGATCAGTGAGATACGCTTTGAGTCAGGTTGGGGTTTTTTCCATTGCTTTTTACAAGCACTTTTCGAAGAGTTATTATGAATAAAAAGTTCTTCATGTTTTGTTTATTCCGTATTTTCTTATCTAGTAGTTTTTGTTCAATTTCATTTTGATCAAATTCACCAATTTTTATTGCAAAAAAGTAAAAGTTTATCATTTCTGATATGTATCTTGTTTGTTTAGACCAAGCATTAAAGAATATTTAAAAAAATATAATAGGATAGTACAAGGTAAGACGACAGAAATACCACTCATTATTAATTTTTATTTCGTAGCAGTTTTTCAGTTTTGCGAAAATAACTTTCTAGTATGAAACTGAAAGTCAAATTGGAGGAAATATTTCTAAAAAGTTAAAATTATTTTTGTGAAACACAACATGGAATTTGTTTTCTACCGCGAACATCCGCTTATACAAAATGAAAGTTTCACATTTAAATTTAACACTCTCATTAATCTCTTCTTCTTCTCTCTCTCTCTCTCTCTCTCTCTCCTTCTCTACTTCTTTAAGAAGATTACTTTGTTTTTTTAGTTTTTCAGTGTTAAATTTGTTTTTCTGTCATTTCGTTCGTGCAATTAAACGTTTTTTGTTTCCAATTTTAAAAAAATGTTTTCACAATTTTTCACGATAGCCGCGAGTTAAAGTATCAATACTAAAGTTTTAACAAATTTCAAATCCGAATAAACTACAACTTCATACGCATCTACATTTAGACCATTTTTTCAAACCAACTGGAAAAAAATTATCTGAAAAACATTTGGTCAAAAGAAAACTAGTAGTGATGCAATATTTTTTATTTCAGTGAAATATCACACGTACATTAGCGCTGGATTGTACATGCCAAGCAAGAAAGCTGGCATATTTAATGGGGCTATAAATGGAATGCCAATCACCCAACAAACAAACTTTAAATAAATCTTCTCGTTAGAGTGCGAAGAATGAATATCTAATGATACAAATGACACCACATTATTATTATTATTATTGGTGTGTTTGTAAGCACCCTTCAAAAAGATCTCAGAGGCGCTAACGATTATTGCAGTACAATGCGTAGCACATCACTAAAGCAATGCAATGAATGGAGAGAAAAAAACATTAGCACGGGTAAGCTCGGACAAAAGATGGAGCTTCAGCCTTTTAAGAAATTGAATAACAGACAACGCAAGATCACGGAGGTCTCAAGGCAAACCATTCCGGACAGCAGGACCCACTGCGGAGAAACTCCTTCGACCAAGAGCCAAGTTTGTGTCAGGTACAAACAGTAAACCTGAATTGTCAGAGCGCAATGTTTGACTTAACAGTGGCATTGTTCGAGGAATGACTCTGTCAGTTAGATATTTAGGGGCAACTCCCTTATTACATTTAAAAACCATTAAACATATCTTGAAAATAACTCTTTGATAAACCGGAAGCCAGTGAAGAGCAAACAGAATTGGCTTTTCAATTGCTGTCTAGTGCCAACTGGTAAAAACTGAGTTATTGAATAATTCAATTTAAGCCCATGTAGGGAACCAGAGGAACAGAGTAGACCGGGACTCCTACTAGAAATATGAAATTAAGATTTATCACACTAATTTAACTTAATGAAATGTTGGAAGATGTAGGTAGGATAACCAATGGCAAATGTTTGGAAAATATTTTTGGAGAGAAATATTTTCAAGCTTTTATTAATAAATCTGTAGAATTGAACTATAACATCATCAAGCAACACATACATTCTCATGCAGAAAAATTTTATTGGAATGTAATACATTTCAATTTGGCGGATAGAAAAAATGTACATTTAGAGAAAAAGTCAAAAAACAACACGCTAATTAAACGGGTTTTTACTTGAAAACTGGAAAAACTGACGAGATAGAGTCATAGAGATTTGATGTTCAGTTGGGACCAGGAAAGACGACAAGTGCTGTTGCATGGTTAGAAAAATATGAAAAAAAATTCCTCTTTGGAAAAAAAATTTGAGAAAAACAATTTCTAAAAGTTGTGTTAATTTACATGCGGCTGGGTTTTTTCGTTTGCATGCTGACATGCAAACGAATGTGCTCATCATAAGCACCTAAAATATTTTTAAACACTTAAGAGAAACTTCTTAAGTTACTTTAAAAAATGTTATTTCATCTATGCAGTCGTACGTTAGCAAGCTAAAACACACAGACGAATGAAAACTAAAAAGTAAACATAAAAACGAACGTATGAAAATGCGAAAACTGATGAACGTAAGATGATGAACATACATAACAAAGAACACAGGCAAGCATGCACCCTCACACGTATACAAACGAACAGACAAAGAACAAAGTGACGAACACACTTAGAAATTTTCCATTTGAACATTTCTTCAGAATAAAAACTTAATTTCGTGAGCTATCATTTGGATGAAATTATTACCACTAATGCGAAAATTTTTTTGAAGGAGGAAAAGAAATTTGAAGAAGAAAATACTTTTCCCCTTTGTCGTAAAATTCCACTATTTAGAGTTCTATATTATTTTGTTTGACAGCGATGTCGTTGATTGTCTGTCTCTCTCTCTCTCTCTCTCTCTCATGTTTTATGATTTTGTTAAATATTATTTTAATTATTTAATTTTAATTATAAATAAATTATAAAAAATTATTAATCATTTTAACTGTTCATTGAAATCTGTTATTGAAATTGATAAAATTCACTAATTACATTGAAATCAATGAATGAATGAATGAATGAACAAACGAACGAACAAACGAACGAACGAATAATTTAAGAAACGAGCGAACGAACGAACGAACAAACAAATGAATGAATGAACGAAAGCCGAAAGGAAGTGGATAAAAATTGAGAGCTGAATGGCAGAGTACATTGAAAGAATGACAAGAAAATTTGTTCATTTATTCATGTCAGATAAACGCCATCATTGTCTTAAAATCGAAACATTTGCTTGGCTGTTGTTTCTGCCGTTGGTTTTTCGTTTATATTTTTTGTGTTTCTTTCCGCTTTCTAATTCTTAAGATTAAAATTTTTCCCAGATTTATCTTCATTTTTTTGAAAGTCATTTTCTCGGCAAATAACTTTCGATTTAATTATTCATTAATAATTCAATTCCTTTGTTTAACTTAAATTTATTTCAAATTAATTCATTCATTTTCATTTAGTTATTCATTTTTTTCCTAAAAGCTACAAAACTCCCGTGCTTTATTGCGCAAATTCGTTTTTCATTACTCAAACCTCTAGTCGTAGATATATATACTTTTATTCTTTTATTTATTTACTTTTTCATTTTTTCTGTTATTCATTCACTTTCTCTCTCTCTCTCTCTCTCTCTCTCTCTCTCTCTCTCTCTCTCTCTCTCTCTTTCTGTCTATCTCTCTCTACTCATTCACTCAATCTTCTATTCATCCAGCGGTTGTAATTAAGATTTGTGGTTGCCATAGAAACGAGTGATGTTGCGTCACTTGTTTGATTTTTCTTTTTTTTTAACTTTTTTCTTCTTTTTTAAAATTATTTTTTTTATCTCGCCTGGTTCTCAATTCTAGAGAGGTTTTTATTTCAAAAAAATTTCAACCATTTTTTGTAAATTAAATTCAACAGGTGGGATCGTCTGTCTTCTTGTGTCTGAATGTCTTTCGTTGGTTCCTTCATTTTAGAAATTTGAAACACTCGTTTTGTCATGCATTCATTTAATTTTTCATTAATTTATTCGTTTGTTTGTTCGTTCGTTCACTCTGAAAACTTGTGCCGAGCTTAAAATATGGTACTTATAAACGTGTACACGTGTGCTTACATGTGTGTGTGTGTGTGTCCATATGTGTGAGTGTTTTGTGTGGGTTTGTATGCGTGCGTGTATGGGTTTGTGTTTGAGTGTTCGAGTAAGTTTTTCTTTCAAATTGTATAAAAAAAATAAAAAAAGAAATTGTATCAAAAATGTATGTTTTTTGATTAGAAACATGTTTTCTTCGGTGTACGCACAGTTTGGTCACGACATCCAAAGATGAGATCTAAACTCTTTTTCATTAATTTTTAATGGTCGTTAAAAAAAATATACACAAATGACCGCTGTTGATCAGTAGTTCGTACTTTCAAACATACAAATGAATGATGTACAAACAAATACAAACATACATACAAACAAACAAACAAATAAACATACAAACAAATAAACAAACAAACAAACCCAACTGACCAGCTATTATAAGCAAGGCTGGACATTAGAGTTTGAGGCGTTTCTCTTACATGGTATCAATAAGGCTTCAGGAAGATTTAATAAAATTCCATACAAACCTTTACAAATCATTCTCTCATTCATCATTCCTTCATTTATTTCTACTCTCTTTCTTTTGTTTTTATTCATTCAATCTTTAGATTACTCCTTCATTTTCTATCAGTTTTCCCTTCAGTCATTCATTCATTGCTTTTTTATTTTATTAATTCTGTTGTTCATAAGCTAAATTTTATTTGTCCATTCTTAAGTTTTTTTCGTTCGTTAATTCATTAATTTATTTATTTTGTACTCATTCATTCGTTCGTTCGTTCGTTCGTCGTTTGTTCGTTCATTCATTCATTTATTCATTCATTTAATTTTGTACTCATTACTCATTTTGTACTCACTCATTCATTCATTTGTTCGTTCATTAGTTTGTTCGTCCGTTCGTTCGTTCGTTCATTCGCTAGTCGTTCATTCAATTTTTCATTTGTTCAATCTGTTTTTCAGAACTAAATTCAATTTATCTAAAATTTTTAAGTCTTATTTTCAATTATTTTTTTAGACTACATACATTTAAGACGCTTTTCTCTGACGTGTGTAAAAAATTTCACTGCTACCATCAACCACTTTTGGTTTCCCTGTTTTACTCATTCATTCATTCAATTATTCATTCATTCGTTCATTTGTTCATGTAGATAACCATTCATGCATTCAGTCATTCATTCATTTATTCGTTCATGTATTCATTCAACAAAACTTTATTTTAGTCGCGCATTCACAGTTAATATTAAAAAAAATTTTTTCTGAATTTTTTCACTCATTCATCATTCATTCATTCATTCATTCATTCATTCATTCATTCATTCATTCATTCATTCATTCATTCATTCATTCATTCATTCATTCATTCATTCATTCATTCATTCATTCATTCATTCATTCATTCATTCATTCATTCATTCATTCATTCATTCATTCATTCATTCATTCATTCATTCATTCATTCATTCATTCATTCATTCATTCATTCATTCATTCATTCATTCATTCATTCATTCATTCATTCATTCATTCATTCATTCATTCATTCATTCATTCATTCATTCATTCATTCATTCATTCATTCATTCATTCATTCATTCATTCATTCATTCATTCATTCATTCATTCATTCATTCATTCATTCATTCATTCATTCATTCATTCATTCATTCATTCATTCATTCATTCATTCATTCATTCATTCATTCATTCATTCATTCGTCCATTCATGCGGTCACCTTGCATCTATCTTCCATTCAATCGCTCCACTGAGCATACAAAAGTAAACACAAACAGAACGTAACATACCAATTAATTTCTTCTTTTTTATCCTTTATTTTTGTCTTCCTTTTCTTCCTCTCTTTTTGTATATTTCTTCATCTCTCTCTTACTCTCTCGTTCTCTCTCTTTTTCGTCACATCGCATTGAAAATTCAAATCTTACTAGCTAGTTTTTTAGGAGACAAATTTTGAAGTTGAAGCATGCAAACAACGTCAAAAAATACATCATCAACATAACATCAACAGACCAGACCAACACCATCGTCACAACAACAACAACAACAACAACAACAACAACAACAACAACAACAACAACAACAACAACAACAACAACTACATTATTGGCAATATCGAAAAACACTATAAAAAATTACAACAACAACAGCACAACAACAAAATTGGACATCGTCTACAACATACAGCAACAAAACAACATCAACAACAACTAAAACAACAGTAACATAAACATCATTTAAAAATTTAACTTCTAAAACAACACCAGCAACTCTAACGACAACGACAACATCAATAACATTAACAAAAACAACAACTCTATCGATAGAAATAATAACAATAAAGCCTGACTTTCATGTTGGGTTCAATAGTTTCCTTGTGGTTCATTCAAATTTATGATGTAGAAGAGCGCTCATGCGTTGTTCTACGTTCGCTCGAGTTATTGTCGTTGCTGCTACTGCTGCTGCTGTTGTCGTTGTTGCAGCTGTTGTCGTTGCTGTTGTCGTTGTTGCAGCTGCTGTTGTTGCTGCTGTCATTGTTGCAGCTGTTGTCGTTGCTGCTGTCGCTGTTGCAGCTGCTGTCGCTGCTGTTGTTGTCGTTGCAGCTGCTGTCGCTGCTGTTGTCGTTGTTGCAGCTGCTGTCGTTGCGGCTGTCGCTGTTGCAGCTGCTGTCGCTGCTGTTGTTGTTGTTGCAGCTGCTGTCGTTGCTGTTGTCGCTGTTGCAGCTGTTGTCGCTGCTGTTGTTGTTGTTGCAGCTGCTGTCGCTGCTGTTGTTGTTGTTGCAGCTGCTGTCGCTGCTGTTGTCGTTGTTGATGCTATAGCTGTTGGTGTTATATGGTACTGTTGTAGATGTTGCTGTTTGTGGTGCTAGAAACGGCGCTTGTTTATGCTTCGGTTGTTGTTTGTTGTTGTTTGACACTGAAAACGTTATTGCCATTGTTGATGTTTTATTGGTTGTTGTTTTTACTGGGTTGGATTTTTCGCTGGCAAGTTTATGACATTAAGATCCACTTTGTTGTTTCATAGGTCGATAACGTTATTAACCCTTCTTCCCCAGTGCATTTACATACTTTAACTCTCATTCCATGTTGATACAATATGATACATAGACCACAACATGATACATAAATACGTCCAACAATATGATACACAGACCACAACATGATACATAGATACGTCCAACAATATGATACACAGACCACAACATGATACATAGATACGTCCAACAATATGATACACAGACCACAACATAATACATAGATACGTCTAACAGAATGATACACAGACCACAACATGATACATAGATACGTCCATTAATATGACACACAGACCACAACATGATTTCATTCATACGTTCGTTCATTCGTTTGTTCGTTCGTTTGTTTGTTCATTCATTCATTCATTCATTCATTCATTCATTCATTTGTATTTTTTGCAGAACCCTTGTCAGAAAATGTAACACAAGAGTACCTGAACTACTTACTAAGAAGTAGTATTTTACAGTATTTTTTCAATGTAGTTGTAGTTTTAGTATAAATAGTATTATTTTCATTTAGTTGTAGTATGAGTATGAAAAGTTATTAGTTGTGTTAGAGATCTCCGTCTAACAAATTATATGTTAGTGATGCGTGTGTTTCTTGTTGTAGTTGTGGTTGTTGTAGTCGCGAAAGTAGTTATAGTAAAAGTAGTAGTGATAGTGCTTGTAGTAACGATAGAAGCAGCAAAAATTAATCGTGTTATAATAATATACAGAATTTTAAATTTCACTAAAAGTTTTTATTAATTAATATTCTATTTTTTTTTTATAAAAATTTGACATTAGATGTTATTTGCAATGTTTTGTAAATAAGAGAATTCCAAACTCTCTCGACAGATGGACAGAGCCCAACGTCATCGTCGTCGTCATCATTTCTCTCAGATCAGCTGATCGGCATCATCGTCGGCGCCGTCGTCATCCCGGTCATCATCATCGTCGTCGTCATCACCCTCTTCATATCTTGCCGCTGGAAGGTGAGTGAGATGCTACTCGTTGGTTGTTGTTGTTGTTGTTGTTGTTGTTAGTGTTGGTGGTGTTGCTGGCGATGATGATGACGATGCTGATGACGATAATGATGACGATAATGATGATGGTGATGATGGTGGTGATAGTGATGATGAAGATGCTGATGGTGATAATGATGATGATGGTGGTGTGATGATGATGATGTGATGACGATAATGATGATGGTGGTGAGGATGATGATGACGATGCTGATGGTGATAATGATGATGATGGTGGTGGTGATGATGATGGAACTCACGAAATGTTGATTGACAAATAGCGATATTTATGATGACGACGACGACGATGATGGCACAGCCAAAGTGAAGTTTTTCTTTACTCAAAGCTTTCAGACGCGAGCAAATTAAATTCGAAAAGGCATTTGATTGTAATGCATCAAGATAATCACTTGCTCAGCCGACGACTCTCGTAAAATTACTCTTTCAAAATTAATTTTTTTCCTTTCCAAAAACAATTCAAAATCATTAATTATCAATTTTTTTCACTAGAAAATTGCTTTGAGAAAATTTTTTTAAATGAAAAATTTTAATACTTTTAAAAATATAGTTGTCACTTTGTTATATTCACACACACGCACAAACACAAACACACACACCAACACGCACACAAGCACACACACAAACAAACACACAGATATATATATATATATATATATAAATATATGTTAACATTTCTTTCTATAATACGTTGATACGTTATAATAAGATTACGACTACATGATAAAACATTATTGATAAAAGATGCGTCGTTCATCATTATGATACACATAAAAAATTTTAAACTTAAACGACATCTCATCGAAACCACAGCCGACAAAATCATAAACACATTATTAATGTCAACATCATGTTGTTCTAAATATAATTAATTAACTTATCGAAGTTGATGTAATTTTTTTCTCAATGTCATTCTTGTTCATTTGCTAATGGTGTAGTGAATCTGTCACCATATTCTTCATCATTATCTTCTTCATCATCTTCTTCTTCATCATCCTCTTCACCACCATCATCTTCATCATCATTGTCAACTTTAGTAGATTTTAATACTACAATGTATGAAGGAGGTTGAAACGTCAACTTTAATGTTATAATGTTAATGTGATTATTATTATTATTATTATTATTATTAGCAAGTAACATTGTCAACACACTTTTTCATGCGCTTCGTGGAATAAACTTGTTTAGAAAAAAAAATTATTAAAACATTAAATCGGTGTTGATGTAATCAGAGGATTGCCATCAAAGCCATAATATTGGTGTAATAAATCATTGTATCATCACAATCGACATCATTGCTATCATCCTATTAATCGTTCCTCAAAACTGCACATGTGATAAATAAAATTGCTGGAGCTTCTAAATGCGCAATTGAATTGCAAATTTTTCAATACACTCATGATCCATGCAGACCATTAGTTTGTCTACATGGCTCCAGAAACTTTTTGGTAATATTAATCCAAAGTAATTCGTGCACTTCTATCTTTTAAAGTACACTTTTAAGGTTTAAAGTCTGTACGTAAGTTGACGAAGATTTTTTGATCAATCGATCGATCGATCGACCGATCAATCAATCAATCAATCAATCAATCAATCAATCAATCAATCAATCAATCAATCAATCAATCAATCAATCAATCAATCAATCAATCAATCAATCAATCAATCAATCAATCAATCAATCAATCAATCAATCAATCAATCAATCAATCAATCAATCAATCAATCAATTTTTTTTCCATGTAACAAAAATGTTAAACACCTCAGAAACTTTTGTTAATTTAGCTAAAGTTACAGGTTAATTCACAATTTTTTTAATATAATTTTTCTAAAAGGGTCGCTGCCCTACAATCCTTCCACTCATTGCAAGTGGGAAAGCCTTCAATCCTCACACACACACATACACACACACACATGCACACATACAACACACACTTACACACAAACACACACATACACACACAAATTAACAAATATTCATACTCTGTCTGGAAAATAAGCACAATCCATCAAATAGTAAACTAACAATATAAAAATCAGCCAACCGACAAACCCAACAGCAAAGTAGCACATCATTCTGACATACACATATTCACAAACGCAGAATAAAAAAACGTCAGAAAAGTTATCAAACGAAGACGACCCAAAGCTGACCTTTAACCTCAAGGACGAAATCCCACTGACCAAGATGCACAGCAATGGCTACTTTACATACAACAACACCATCTTCAACAACAACAGCAACAGCACTTGCAACAACAACATAATGCGTTTCAGTAATAACAACTACACGACGACTTCATCAACCACATCGACCACCATCGCCACTACGCTCACCTTAAAAAAGTTTGACGACACAAATAGAATACTGAAATATACACTGACCAATCAGAAACCGGAAAATGGAACCAGTGACCCATATTCCATGAGATTGATTGGTCAGAGGGAGTTACCTGAAGTTCCGCTTATTCCCTTTAATGATACAGGTAACATTAATTACTGTCTTGTTGCTAATTGAAAGATGCTACATCAAATTAACTTCATCACGCATTACAACTACATTAATGATTATAATTGACTTGAGTAACAGAGAGAATTATGAAATTTTAACTAATTATTTTCGATGAATGAGTTTGGCTGAATAGACACACTTTCACAAATTAGTTATTGATCGGGTGGGTGTCTGAAATGAATGGATAAAAATGTAAAAATTATTTAATAAACATTATTATTTGATTATTCGGTCAAGTAGTTGTTCAATCAAAATCATCTTTTAAATCAATCAATCAATTTTTTAATCAGTCAATCAATCAATCAACCAAATAACTTTTAAATCAATCAACCAATCAATTATCAAGATTATCAGTCAGATACGAACACCTCCACGTACGCCGTACCAGAGCAATACAGAATTGCTCCACCCCCTTCCTTCTCGACAACCAATAAGAATCGATCCCCGCACCAGCTGACCGATCCGTCGACCAATCTAAGGACACAAAACTGGGTCGAATCGGGTGACGACCTCATGGGAATGGCGGTTCCTGGGGTGCGCCAGTTGGCTAGGAGTCAATTGAGATTGGTCGAGAAACTTGGAGAGGGCTTATTCGGAGAAGTACGTCAACTGATACTAATCAACTCAATTAATATTAATTAACTTAATTAATATTAATTAACCAATTAAACTTATTTTGAATTGTTAATTGAGAAAATTTAATAATGTTTAATTTTGAAACGTAAAGTTTGATCTAAAAAAAAATGTTGACAACACCATATGACGTTGTTTGCGATGGTGTAACGATCACATGATCGTTATAACTTTGAGGATAATTGCAGGATTTAAAAAACCTTCGAAAGATATAAACATAGGCAGATACGTAAACAAACTAACATTTGAATGAAGATAAATGGATTATATGTTTGTGATTTATCACTAGTTACAAGATTTGGTGTGATATAGTATCTCAAAAGTACACTTGTGATTAATTCGAAGGTTCATTTGTGTGACGTAGAGATATATGACCTATATCCAAGCAACCTGATTCGTCCGAAGAAATTAATTGGGGCAGTCAAGATTCTTTCTGGAAACGCATCCATCAAGATGAGGTGAGTCATACATACACTGGGTGGATAATTTGTATGGGTCATTATTTTGAATTTTGGGATTTTCAAGTTGCTAAAAATAACTATGGTTGCGTTTTTAAAATTCATTTTTATTGAATCTTTACACTGCCTCGAATGATAATGTTTAAGGGATGTTTAGAAGGTATTGAAGCGCTCTCTAGCGTTTACGGGCATTCTTCGCATTCAAATTTAAACGCTCTATTTATTAATTGTTGAAAGTGATTTTTTGTATGATAAAATTAATTGATTATTCTAATCAATTAATAAATCATTAAGTTATCAATCAATCAATGAGTTATTGATTAATTTTCTCAATCAACTAACTAACCAACCAATTAGTCACCAATTACTTTCACCAACCAGCCAATCAATACCAATTATTTTCACGGACCAACCAATCAACCAATAAGTCACCAATTTCACGAACCAACCAGGCAATCAATCACCAATTAATTTCACCAACCAACCAACCAATCAGTCACCCACCAACCAACCAATCAGAGACAACTTCCTACAAGAGATCCGCGTCCTTTCTCAGTTGACCAATCCGAACATCGCGGCCATCCTGGGATGCTCCTGCCACAGCGTGGACGACATGACCTACTTCGTTGTTATAGAGTACACGTGTCACGGGGTCATGAACCAATTTCTGAGGTCGCGATCCATCAGCGAATGTTCCCTCATGAAGTCAAAGGTTAAAGCCTGGGGCAGGAAGGGCGGAAGCAGAGGAAGAGGTAGTCGGCGGGTGAAGCCATTGAGGTTTGTTTGAAGTTTGTAAAAAAATTTATCAAAACATTTTTTCAATTTTTCTAATTAATAATGCGCATAAAAGTACTTACTTATGGGCATCATAATGAATAAAATATGAAAAAAAATGCTAATACAAGACAAGGTAATACTACAAGTATGGTACGATACTACGTTAAAACAACACAAACACCACCACCCCTACTACCCAATACCTCACAGCTACGGAAGTTTGATTTACATGGCGACGCAAGTCTCCTCCGGTATGAAGTACCTGGAACAGACGGGCATCGTTCATAGGGACCTTGCCACGAGAAATTGTTTGGTGGGCAGGCACTTGTCTGTTAAGATTTCTGACCTCGGCTCCTATTCTGACCTCTATAAGGTGGGGGTTTTTGTTGGTTATGTCGGTTGGGATGGTGATTTGGATAGTTTTGGTTACTGAGATTTTTATTGTTGCTATTATTACATTATATTTTATTATTATTTCTATTTATTAATTCATCTTTCAATATTTCTGCTCAACAACATTTATTTAATCGGAAATAACATTAATGTTTAGCATTAACTTTTTCAATATTAACATATTCATCATCAAGATTGAACATATTCAACTTTAACATATTCAACATTAACATATTCAACTTTAACATATTCAACATCAACATTTTCAACATTAACGTAATCAACATTAACATAATCAACATTATCATAATCAACATTAACATAATCAACATTAACATATTCAACAGTCCGATTATTACGGAGGCAAAGGTCAAACGCCAATGCCAATCCGTTGGATGGCTTGGGAATCAGTGCTCCTGGTACGACGATAGCTTTGAAATAATTTTTTTCTGATCAGCTAATGAAAAATTTTTTTAAATTGAAAAGAAAATGATCAAGAATAATTATTAATAATAAATTTAATTAAGATTTTTTGATAATATTAACAATTAACAATATAGAAACAAATTTAACCATGAAATTGCAATGAAAAAAAAATCGTATCTATTCACCTTTTCACAAATGCATTCAGGGAGAATTTACATCAAAAAGCGACGTCTGGTCTTTCGGAGTGACCCTCTGGGAGATATTGACCCTGGCAATGTCAAGGCCATTCAATGAACTGACCGACCAGCAAGTCATCGATAACCACGCTCTTCTGATGAGTCAGCCGGAAGTGAACTCGACGGAAAAGCAGGACATCAATCTCGGTCAGGGCGTGCCACACTTAAATGGGTCACAAAATTCAATATCTGCGTCGAGAGGATCCAATCACGTGACGTTGAGTCAGCCGCCATCTTGCCCCCGCGAAATATACGACATGATGGGCATGTGCTGGTGCAGGGACGGCCCTCTGAGGCCCTCCTTCAACGAGATCCACATGTTCCTCAGCCGCAAGAACATGGGCTACAACCCCGACGACGACGCCGACGACGACGATGATGGTGACGTCACGACAAGCGGCGATGATAATGACAGCGGATTTGGGGGTGGGGGTGTGGTTTATGGCACTAGAGTGGGTGGTACGTACAGCAACAGGCAGTCCCTGCAGTGTGTCCAGTACGTTGATGACGTCACGAAACCCAACAACAACAACAACAACAACAACATAGGTGTCGGTCAATCTAATAACAACAACAAAAATAACGATGACGATGATGAGGATGATGATGAGAGTGAAGATGATGAGGACGATGTGAATGGCGGTGCAGATAGTGATGATGCCGAATTGAAACTGAACAGCATGCCCGTGTGATTAGAACGATTGTCACCAACAACATAGCCATCTTCATCATTTTCGTTACGTTAAAATCATTCTGGAATTTTTTCAAACTGTTATCTTTAAATACGTCTGTAATTGGTTTCGTTCAATTTGGTTGAGATTACAAAAATGATAGAAAATCGTCGTCATACGTTTTGTTATTGCCATATCATATTGTTTTCTGAAAAAAAGCTCATCAAAGGCCACTATATATATACATATATATCGCCTGTATATAAAAATGTATCAAGTTAAATATGAATAGAATAATGAAGACACACACACACACACACGCACACTCTCACACAAACAAACACACACAAACAAACACATATTCATCGTCATTGTTCATGTTAATTATTGTCATCATCCAAACATCAGCACACTTAAAATTAACTTGTTCCTAATATATATATATATATATATATATATATATATATATATATATATATATAAATATATATGAATTTGATATTTTAAATGTAAATAAAAATAACAAGTTTTTATATTTTGAAATGTATAATATTATTAACATGTTTTATGTAAAATTTATAAACATGTATTATGTATAGACATTTTTGTTTATATGTGTATTATATATGTATGTCTATAATACATATACATTTTACTAAATTGTTGGCATTAATCAATTTAAAGTTTGTCTTTACGATTTTCCTTACTAGAATCTTCAAGAAATTGTTCAATTTATTGAAAATAGAATTATTATCCATCATCAGTTATCATTTAAGTTATCAGTTTAAATAGATGTAATGCCAACAATTCGGTAGAATTCATACAAAATTGTATAAAATATGGTACCCTTGCTACATTTACATGTGTATATAAATAAGAACAGTAATTTAAGATATCTACCGAATTCTTTGCGTTAAATTCGGTAGCTTTCATAAATTACTGCGTTAATTATGGTCTTATATAGCTATTTATATATCGTTTTGTACTTGTATGTATATGAATGAAAGCTTGTAATTATATATATATATATATATATATATTTGTGCTTAAAACAATTCGTCAGGCTTCAACAATTTAAATGTTTAATTTTTTTTCATTCATTCATACATTTGTTCGTTCTTTCGTTCATCCAGCCACCTATTCACTCATTCATTCATGTTTTCACTCATTCATTCATTCCTTCACTTACTGCATTTATTCATTCATTCATTCACCAATTCATTCATTCATCAATTCATTCATTCACCAATTCATTCATTCATCAATTCATTCATTCACCAATTCATTCATTCATCAATTCATTCGTTCATCAATTCATTCGTTCATCAATTCATTCGTTCATCAATTCATTCGTTCATAATTTTGAACGTTTAATGTATAATTATCGAGTTGTGTTTGTAAATTTGTTAACGCTTTGTGTTTCGAGTTTTTTTTATTTCGAACAGAGACAGACCCTGAGGTGAAACTTCATCTATGTCCTGACACATATTAACTACAATAACTTTTAAACATATAATGATATTAATAAAAATAATAATAATAATACTACATATAAAAATTACCGTTAATTATATTATTAATTTTATTTTAAATATATCATAATTATAATTAAATTTATAAAATTTTTAAATTTAATAATAATAAATATAATAAATTTATATTTTTGTCAACATTATAGTAATTACAAAACACACCACACACACACACACACACATATACGCACAAACACACATACAATCATTTGTATATATATATATATATATATATTTATTCATATAAACATATAATTTGTTTGTTGTAATATTGATGACGAAAGTAATAAATATATAAACAAGTGCTGTGAGAAAAGAGTCAGTAATATAAAGTTGAATTAAAAAAATCAATCCAATGTTGGTATTCATAAAAGAGATTTTTTTCATTCGTTTAATTAATTCATTAATTCATTCATTTAATCTACCAATCATTTATTCATTCACTGCATTTAGTCATTCATTGATTTAGATATTTATGCATTGTTTAACGACTTAACTAACATCTATCAATCTATCAATGATTTTCCTCAGTCTAAACATGTAAAAATATAAATATATAGGTATACAAACTTAAAACATCACGCATTTCGGCAGAGAAAAAATTTAAATGGTTTCTAATTCAATGCTTATGTGACGCAAATGCTAAACAAAACAATGTTTTGGCAAATTTGAAAAAAATTCAATATTTTTCCGTTAAGTTTGGTAGAGTGAAAGTTAAATTTTATACAATCAAATAATTTTCCTTAAAAATTAATTTTGTTAAAAACAATTTTAATAATAGAACTCGATTAAAAACGTTTGAATCGTTGTGAATCACGATCACAAATGACCGCATCCAATAAACTGAACTCGTCCTTTTTAGCTGCTTATGGTTATGACTCGAACGATATCAAAAGACTGTACGATAGTCTAAAAGAAGGTGACAACGATGATGACAGTGATTCACTGTCTGGAGTTGCCCCTGCTCTGATGAAAGTTAAGACATTTTCAAAAAAATGTTTGGTCGACGATCGTGATGAAGACAATGATGTTGGTGATGAAGGTGGTAAAAATGATGACAATGAATATGATTTCGATTTTGAAAAGGATGATGATGATCTGGAAAATGAAAATGACAGTAATGCTGATAAAAATAATGATAACAACAAGATATGTAATAATGAAAATAATGTTGAATATAAAGAAGTTAAAACCAACAATGGAGTCTATGAGAATGAATTTTTCAAACAAAAGAATATCAATAAAAGCGACAATTCTTGTTTCAAAAATGAGAAACACAAAAATTTCCCAATAAATACTAATACTTTCTATAATAATGATGAAAGAAAAAGCAAATCTCAGGCGAAATCTCACAAAAATTCTTTTTTCCAAGTGGAAACAAGTTACATGGGCAAATACAACGTGACTCTGAAAGAGTATAGAAATGTGAATGAGACAACTGAGATACCCAATGGCTACCGATATTATGAGGACAGGTACAACAGCCATCGAAGAATCAACCTCAACAGTAGAAATAAAAGTAACAACATTAACATTTCAAACAACAAGCAGGCCGTATTGAAGGATGTGTTTCGCGAGTACTACAAATTTTACTACAAGATTGATCCAGAACAGCACAGGCAAGAACCTAAAAATTTAAGAGTGAATAAACAGACTGAAGAAAAAAACGCAGTGATCAGTGCCCCACATGAACCTCTCCAAAAAAGTCCGCCTTTCGCTGATCAGTCAGAAATGAAAAAAATCGACATTATTGAAAAAGATTTGGAAACGAAAGAAAAATCCAAAGAGATGGTCGAAGAAGACCAAAAAAAAATTAGTGACCGAGTGAAATTAAGTGAATCGTACTTGAGAAGGAAACTTGCGAGAAGGATCAGCACTCGAACAAAAGGTGGCGAACGCAGTCAAAAAATCAGCAAAGTCAGGCTCGATTCCGTTGAAGCAAAGCATGAAATGGTCATTAAAACTTCCTACTTTCAAGATGATCTGAAAAATCCCTACGTAAGCAAACACTCGATTAAGTCGCATAAGTCGCAGCAGAAGACACATTCCGACTTGACTAAAAGCATAAAAAGTGAACCGAAGCTTATTGCACCAAGTAAGAAGTCCTTACCCGGCGTGAAATCTTCACAGCCACAAAGGGATGAAACGTTAAAGAAATTCTATCGAGACATGATGAACAAAAAATTTGACAAAAGTAAGGAAGAAAAAGTCTTCTATGATTTGTTTGTAGATTTGTTCACTAGGTTGGAAGCTTCGTTCATGCTTCACAAAAGTGATGTGCTAAATGAATTTGTAAGTATTAATATATACTTTTGTATACTTTCTATTCCATGAATATACTCAATATATATTTTTTATATAAACATTTCTAATATTTATTTGTAAATCTGTAACAAACTCAATTACAAACTAACAATCTTTCTACTTAATTTAAACTATTATCTGAAACTAACATAAAAACATTGCAGTCTAAAGCAAAATGGGAAAAACTCTTTAAGCACTGTCAGATCTTTCTGAATAGACTGGACTGCATGGTCAACCGACATGACGAGTGTCAGCCACAAAATTGTTTCCAAATGGCCAATAAGGAAAAAGATTCCAAAGTAGCCGAGCGTAACGTTCCAGAAAATACATCCAAAACGCCTGACCACATTAAACCTAATCCTATGAAATTTAAATATTTGAGATTGAAGCATCAAGCAATAAAAAATTTTTATCGAAGAAAAAAATCATCCAAGAAGATTAAACTGAACCTAAACGCTGAAAACTCAAAAGGTAAATTATTTGATATTCTCTATGCAAAAAGGCTAGAAGAATTGGAAATAAATAAAGGCTGTAGAAAGCGATTGCCACACGAGACACAATCAATAAGAAAACAGTCAAAAATTAAAAGCCTTTCCTATCCACAAACTTCTGTCAAAAGAAACTCAGTAGCAGTTTACAAAGATAACAAACTTCTAGAGCAGTTGGCTGTCCAAACCGTCAATTCATTGTCTCGCCTGTTAATTAAAAATGCCGTCTACGCTATGAACGATTATTTCAACGAGTTCACGAAAGAAGAGCCAGCTACTTATACAAAATATAAAAACGAGAAGTACACCAACCCGCACAGGGAACCCTACAATATGTTTAAACACATGAAACAGATGGATCTGCTTCAAAAAGGTTGAGTCGTTTTACTATTTTTTAAAAATTATTTTAATTGAATTGTTTCAATGATATTAAACAACTTTAACGTTGACAATTTAATTTAGATTAATAAAAATCATCTTCATTTATTTTGTTTTTTTTTCGAAAGGCCTCTCCTTAAAATTTGGGCATCTTGAAGAAGACTTGCTAGAGCTTGCGTATCGACCAAAAAGTGTGCTGGGACTTCTGGTCGACACTTCTGACAGCATATTGGAAGCTTATCCGAAGAAAAAAAATATGCTGGTACGTTTCTCAGATTCCAAGAGTCGAACTGTAGCTCGGCGAAAGCATAAACCATTGACTAATTTTAGTGTTACGCATCATAACCTGCAAATTAAAAATCAATTGGGGAGTGAGTTTCCCATGAAACTTATTTCTAATTTAATTAATATAAAACCACGCAACATGTCTATTGAAAGCACTTTTAAATCTTCACAATTTGAACACGGTCACGTCAATTATGAATTTAAAATTTTTAAATCAGTTCACGGGTTTTGTTCGTTTTTATTAACACATGCAGTTAGAGGAAACATCGATCACCTTCTTCTTTATATACACGACTTTGCGAACTTGGTTCTCAACGTTTCAAAACTACTCTACATATTTCTTGCTCTCAGAAATAAGTCAACAATTGAGGCTCTAATTTCAAAAAAACGTTTGAAGGTATACCCGCGTTTGGCCTGCGTACTGGCAATTCAAATTTTTTGTAAGACTTTTGCCGATTTGGTTTTTTGTTGGAAGGCCGCCGGTCTGAAAAACAACGAACGACACTTTATGCTGATTATGGCTGAAGAGTTTTCTACAAATTTATTTGTCTCCGAGGCTACTAACAACCAGCGCACGCGCGAAAGCGTGTTAAGTCTGCCCAGTTACAAACTACGCCGTCGGTCCAGCGGTCGAACCAACAAGTTCAAACTCTTGAAAAAAAATCACAATAATAACAGTCAAACTCGCGACGCCAACAATAACTCTCGACATGGAGATAACAACAACAAAAATTTTGCTAATGATGGGTTTGAAGATAAGAACGAAAATGTTAGGGTCTTTAAAAAAAAAATTGAAACCATTAACTGCCAAAACCCTTTCATTGAAACAATTTCAACAACTTCCGATAAAACTGATAAAATAGAAAAAAATGTTGATTGTCGTAAAAACTTACAGAAGACTGGCAGGGTTAGTTCATCCAACAAAATCAGAAATAACATTAGGTTGGCTGACAATAGGAAAACTTTAAATTTGAAAAAATCCGGTCAAACTAATGTGAACAACATCAACAATGCAAGAGATGAATATTTGTCAAACAAGAACATTGAACCCGTGAACATTTTTTCTAGATCATCTCAAATATACGAAAAATATTTTAAAGAGACAAACACAAATAGAAATAACGAGAGTTGGAGTAATCTGACTTTTAGCCCAAATCGAAAGCCATCAAGAGCGGACATCCAAAACGAAATAAGCAAAGTGATAGCACATCTTCGGTCAACCATAGCCAGCAGAATGAGTGTTCAGTCGTCAACTGTGAAAGTTTCGATTAACAAAAAAGTACCTACCCCAACTGTAATGTCTACAAATGTTAGCGTCAGACAAAGTTTCCTTCGCAGTTCCAACATGCACAGAAATAAAATTGATTACATGGGATGGAAAGGCCTGGAAGAGAAGATGCTGTCATTTTTTGAAGAGCTCCTTGGCCCAGGTGAATATTTTTATTATCAATCAATCAATCAAACAAACAAACAAATGCTTTATTAAAATTTTCATTAAAATCATTTGAATTTATTTATTACAATTATTTTTTTAAGGGCGACAATTGAATAATAATTTAAAATAAATAATTGTTAAATGTTATTTTCCAAAAGATTTTTCAAAAGCAAGTAATACGACGCTTGAATTTGTGAAAAACGCAAACGATAAAATAAAGGTTAGTTGGCATAAATAAAAGTTCAAGTTTGAGTATCGATATATTTTGTTAATAAATGTTAACAAGTTTTTAATAAATTGCCATCCAAGAATTGCTTTTTGAATAACTAGTAAATTTGTTTGTTCATAAAAGTTGTAGCATTACACTTCAGTCAAATATTCTGCATTCCTAAAGAATTCAAACGAAAAGCATCTTAAATTTAAAATTTTTTATAAATTATCTTACAGCTTGATTTGTCAAAAATAGGCTATCATTATTTGAAGAAGAACAAACACCAGATGCTCGAAGAGTTGGGCATCAAATGCAAACAGAGACACGACTCGCTGACCAACACTCCCGACATCCTGGACCTACAGGGAGAGGAAGCGGACGAAACTCGCTCCGTGTACATTCTGTGTGACGGATCCTACAGGAAGGTTTCTAAGGATGAACCTGCTACAAATAGTAGTGAAGAAAAACTTTCCTTCAATAAAAAAGTAAATATTATTGGATTATGTGTGTTTTTCAAATTTATCCAAAGTACCAAAGTAGTTGAATGAAACAAAATTAACAATGAAAGAAAAATGTTTCGCAACGTTTTATTGGCATTAAATTTAAAAATTAGACACATAGAATATAAAGGTGCTTATAAAAACTTATTTATTTCAAAAATAAATATCTACAGAAAAATGAAAGAGAGGAAGAAGAAATAGAAACTGTTACAAAACCAGAAGAGATAATACAATTTTCGAAGCCTTCAGAGTTTTTCAGAAGTAACTTGCAGCCCAGAGAGAAGCAAGGCAAATCAAGAATTAAATCATTAAAAATTTCAAAACGTTCAAAACAATCGAAGTTTGCAAAATCTTCAAGAGCGGACACAAAAAGCGTTTCACTTAAACATAAACTAAAGTCAGAACGAAAATCTCCTGCGGAAACAAAAACTCATTCAAAATCATCTAAACGTTCTAAAATTTCAAAAGTTTCAAAAACAGACAGTAAGGTAAAAAAAAATGAGAAAGCAAATAATGAAATGTCCGATCAAAAATTGAAGCAAGAGCCCTCAGGGCAACAAGATTTATTACATCAGCAACAGCAACCGCCTTTTCAGCAAGCAGTCTATCAGCCACCTTCTCAGCAGACACTTCAAGTCGATCCATCCACATCTCAGCAACACACGTCCAACAGCAAAATCTTACCATCTGTCTCCTCTTCCATATCACTGGCATCACACCTGGAAGTTTACCCAATACGCAGGCAGCGTCACCATCCTTCCATCGTCATTTTCAATGCGATTGAAGATGTATACAAGCTCTACACGGAAAAGTCCGTTGAAGAAATTTCAGAGAATGAACTGAACGAAATCAAAAATATCTTACAACAGTTGAATTACAATAAAATCAAACTTTTATTCTTGTCAAAGGGGTTTGAGAAAAACTACGTCGATGAAGTATTGAAAGAAAAAATGCGAAACGTTAGACCTTATATAGATTATTCAACATTTTCAAATATTTCCGTTGTGAGTAAGGCAGAAGTGAAAGAAATAGTTGAAGAAGATAATATATCCAGCACCTACAACAGAGATTACGTAAATCATCTATTCGAAACATACTGGATCCCGAAGCTCAAAGAAATAGCTAAGAAACAAAATTTCATTGAAAGCATTCTCAGGACACAATTGATTATGTACAAAGATAAAGTAAATTTACTTGATCTTCTCACCGATCTTAAAAAGATATTAAAAAATTATCTCTACGTTGATGAAATGTCTAAAATTTATGAAACAGACGCCATTACAACTTCCTTGCAAAAAATTACTTCCTTCAGGAACATGCCTCACATCGATCGTACGAGAAAAGTTTCGGAGCATCGAGAAGAAGAAATCTCCAAAAAGAATGACGATGAGAAGAATGTTAGGATCTCTATATCGGTAACTGAACCGGAAAAAAAAGGCGAATTATTGCCGGGTATGACTGATTTTGGAAAATTACCAGAGAGATTATCGTCTTCCCCAGATGGCACGATAATTCCCTCTGCCGTAGCCAGTTCAATAAGAACACCCAATCAAATTATGAAATTTCATAAGAATATTGAGCTTACAAACAAACAGCTAATCCCACTTTCCATTAGACCATTCTTTGAAAAAATTCCACTCACTATCGATCCGAATTTGGTGGCCCTTTCACTGCAGACGATATCCTTGAGAGATGCTAATGAATTGTTTCTTGGCAGAAGGATATCTTATAGGAATCTTTACAGGCCTGATTTATCAGCGGTCAGTGTTTGCAGTTTTGAAATCTAATTCAATCATAAATATAACATCAATAATGTTTAATTCTTTTTATTGTTTTTTTTTTATTTTTATAAATTGATTTGAAAGTTGATTGAGCGTCAAGATGTTAAAATATTAACATAAAAACAATTTCGTAGGTCCGAAAATTTACTACGGTGGACACAGACGCGGCTAAGTTTTTAGAGCAGCGGAGAAAAACGAGTTTGAAATTAAGTTTACTTTCGTCACACGTGGACAAACAGCAAATAAAAGCCGTATTTGATAAACATTACAAAAAATCAGGACGTAAACCGGATGCTCTACTTTTAAAACCGTCATACTCGCAAAAATATATGCCGACAAAATCAAAACAATCATCCATTCAGGATTACTTAACGATGGGGTCTTCATCCTCTTTGGCGACAATGACCAAATTCTCAGAAATGGACAAATCTCTAAATGAAGTTTCTGATAAAAAACCATGGTTGAGTAATCTATCGAAAGAAAACGAACTCAAATCACCGGCCGGAAGCTCAAATATTGCAAATCCATCTTTATTAGACAAAGTGGAAAGCTCGGAAATGATCCTGACTTTGATAGACCTTCACACTCCCGAGAAACTGGATCAATTGAAAATCCTAACAAAGGAGATGTACCCAACGGAATCCAAGTTGATTCTTCTCGATGAGATTGAAGCCAATGCCGGTGTAAGATTCTACGCTGATGACTATGATACAGATGAAACTACTTTACCCAACACACCCAGGCAAACGATTTCGTCAAAATTATTTAATAACTATTAAAAAAAAGGATAGTGCTTGCATAATTTAAAGTTGGCTCATCAGTTTTAAAATTACATGAAAGTTCGAGAAATTTTTTAATTTTTGGAAATATTTAAGATATCTAGTTACTTATAATTTAATTCAAAAAATAGTTTCTGCTTCTTAAACATTTAAAAAATTTTAGAAAATATGTTAACTATTTTATACTTTTTATATAATTTTAGTTAAAAATTAAAAAATTTCAATATAATAATTGCATTTTTTGTCGTTCATAATAAAATTTGAAAAGATTGAATTTAGAGGTGATACCATGAAATTGAAAATCAAAAATTCCACAAATGACGCCTAATTACCTTCATACTCCATAACCGCACTTTACAATGGTAAACATCAGCATTCCTATTGGACTGAGTACAAACACATCTACAAAATTATTAATAAAACACGAAAGTTACCATATTTAGAAAGCAAGCTGGCGAATCTTCATTCAACATTCTCTAACGGCTTTGCAACTTTAAAAATTTAAAATGGAAAAGAAATTTAATTGGCATTATTAACTTTATTAGGACAGTAGTAATAGCAGTAGCTGTCTGGTGTAGACAACAATGACCAAACCCGTGTTGCAGATGCAGTGTTGAAAATTGCAACAGAAAAAAAGGAGTCATAAAAAATACATAAACCATAAAAAAAATCCGACAAAACGAACGCAAATTACAGGACAACTTACACGTGCCTGCTCTGTTTGTCGCACTATCTTCTTATCTATTACGCTCCTCTCTTTCCTCTAATTTTTTGTTTTCTCCCTCTTTCCCTCTTTTTTTCTCTTTCTGTCTCATTTTTTTCAATTCTTTTATCTATTTATTTTGTTCGTAGCTTTTGTTCGTAGCAAGAAAGAAACGCCTTGAAAATTAATAATACATGATACCACCAAAAAACATTTGCGCTAACACATTCATACTTGCTACTTATAAGTGTGAGCTAAGCATGTTGCACGGAAAAATTACATGAAATGATAAACAGATGATGCAGGTGATTATATCATAATTTTTGCTATTTAAAATACTGGCAAGAACGCAAAAACTGAAAAAATACATTTTCCTCATTTAACTCACCAGCAAACCTCCAAAACATTTTCATTGAACGTAAAAAAATGCTCAATTGAAAGAAAAAAAACATAGAAGTAGCAAGCTTTTAAACGCGTTTTTTATCTATAGCAAATAAAGAAAGAAGCCAAAATACACATTGCAATTTTTTTTTCTTTGAAAGTCTGCCAGATTTCTTAATTTATTCAACTTTTTTCTGACATTAGAACAGTATTTTGTGTTTGTACTAAACTTGGTATTAGTATTTTTACAATCGATTCAAGTAGTGTCAATATAATTTTGTTAGTAGTACTATTGTGTTATCATAGATATATATATAATCATCCATGTGTGTTACTGTTGCAATTATCTTGAATACTCCTTATGCAATTTTGCTAACAATCAGCACTCTACATTACAATGTGTAATTTTGTAATATGGGAACATCCTTTTATTTACCGAAAAACAAAATCCAAATGGAATCCATCGAAAATTATTAATTATATATTAGAGTGTAAATATTGACAGATTGAGAGCTCTTTCTTGATTCGGTGGGTGGTGGTGCATGGCCGTTCTTAGTTGGTGGAGCGATTTGTCTGGTTAATTCCGATAACGAACGAGACTCTAGCCTGCTAAATAGTCCGCCGATCGTCTTGCGTCGGCGCAGACTTCTTAGAGGGACAAGCGGCGTTTAGTCGCACGAGATTGAGCAATATTATTCATTTAAGTCGTATTTCGGTGATGTTTGTTAGTATTAGTACTATAATATAAATAATAATATTATTAATAATAAATATTATAATATGAATAATAATATTAATATAGTTCTATCTGGAAAATGTTCTTTAATAAATTTTTTCTCGCAGGCCTACTGGCATTTCATTTCTCTGGGTCCCAACCCAACATACGTTGATGACTTTCATATCCGATTTAATGTAATGTTTGAACGTGGAATGACTTTATTATATAAAATTTTGAAATTTGAATTATATTTTTTAATCCGCCATCGAGAATTGAATGTTAAAAAATGAAAATCAATGATGGACGTATATCTAAATATGTGGAATATCTTAATGTAAGTATTTATATAACAAAATATTTTTTATTTTTACATACTTACATGCATACCTAGTTGTATTAGAGAGAGAGAGAGAGAGAGAGAGAGAGAGAGAGAGAGAGAGAGAGTGAAAGAAAAAAACTTAAAGAGACAGAGAGAAAGAAGTGAGTATTTAGTTGTATAATGCATACTTATGTTGTCGTTCGTATATTAGAGAGAGGTAACAAAAACCAAAAACGAGGGAGAAAGCGAGATTAAAAGAGAGAGAAAGAGAGAGAGAGAAAGAGAGAGAGAGAAAGGGAAAGAGAGAGTGAAAGAAAAGGTCCATGTTTTGCAAGCCAACTTTGAAAATACCGAAATTTATATATTTCCTTCAGCTCTTTTTTACTCTTTTCAGCCATGCATTCACATGCATTCTGTTGTCTCTCAACATCCAATCTTGTTCCTTCTCATTTAACTTTAACTTATTTTCAACAACCAATCCTATTATTTGTATAGCAAATGTATAAATAAAAAGATATTTTTGTGTATTCTGTGTCTTGGATGTCCATCAGAGTTGAAGAATCTGTAAAATAATTTACACTGGGCAAGCTTGTAATATTTATTTGTATAAAAATCTATGTTGCTGGATACAATTTCGTTTCGTTTAGTTTGATTTAAAAAAACAAAATGAATACAAAAAATAAAAAAAACTTTTATTCTATAAAAAAAATTAAAAGTTGTAGATTTCATGATCATTGTTACGTGTGCACTGAGGCAAGTTCATATTCATCGGACTCTCTATCTATTGGAAACCACCAGAGCAATCTCCAAAGCATAAAAGTTTGTTACGAAAAATTTTTTTTTTCTTAAACTTTTAACCCAATTTTTACAAATTGTTATCACACAATAAACATTTATTATTTAAAAATCTGTAACAATTATTGAAATGTTGATTCTGCATCATATCAAATTCATTTTCTAAATGAATTCGGTAAATCCAACCAATGAATTAAGGTAACAAAGTCTTTTTTTTAAATTATCAAAAAAAATAAATATAAAACATCAACATCTGCAGCATCACCGATCTAAAATACTGTTAATGTTTTTCCAACAAATTATAGCCCCACTAGAAGTACAAAAAACTGTGGGTGAATATTTTGAATGGCAAAAAGAAGTGTATGAGAATATAAAGTTACAACATCATCACAACAATTGAGGGTTGATTCAGGAAAAAATATAAAAATAAACTTAAAATCAAAATTCAACTAAGACCAGTAATAGTTGAACGACAATGATATCAGAGAATATGAACTTTACATTTCATTTATCTTCTCGTACAAGCGTAATTAACTTGTGATATCAACACTAACAACTACACACAAACAACAACAACAAACAACATGGCTGAAACTAAAGAGCAAAAAACTCGGAAAGCCCACGGACTCAGTAAATCATTCAGCACGGACGTACACTCAACAACGATGACGTCATCGTCTTCGCCAACATCGTCGTCGACAACGACACCGCTTAATTTTCAACGCAACAAACATTACTTCACGTCACGAGTTGCCGACAACGATGACGTCATTAGCGGAAGCTTCAAAAACAGAGATGTGCGAAATAAGCTGAAAAAATCGAGCAGACATCATCAGGTTACGTTCGAAGATGAGGAAGAGACAAAAACATTACTAAAAAACGACCCTGATAACGACAGCGCTGCAGCAGCAACTACAACAACCACAACAAAATCATCGGCTACAACAGCCACAACAGCAGCAACAACTTCAGAAACGACTCAACCAAGCAGTCCGACGAAACATGTTAAAACTTCAAAGTACAAACAACAACAACAACAGCAACTGTTTCAGCAACAATCGCAACATAAGCAGCAACGTCGTCAACAAAAGTTGCAGCAACATCGCCTGCAACATCAGGCAACATTTGATTGCTCATATCCTTCGAGCTGTTTGGATGCCTCAAAACCAATTATGTTGAGGAATAAACAGGTTCTGTCCACAAATGTTTTATGTATTTAGATTGTTGTCGTTGGTGTGGTCGGTGCAGTAGCAGTTATAGCAGTAGCAGCGACATTGAAAGTAGTAGAAGTAGTGGCAGTTGTGGTAGTAGTTGTAATGGTACTGTGGAAGTTTTGAAAGTTGCGTTTTGTTGTGGTGACGACGATGAACACAAGAACAACACAACAATGATGAGGACGACGACGACGACGACGACGATGATGATGATGATGATGGCAAAGATGATAATGATGATAATGATGATGATGATGGGAATGTCAAATTCGGTGGTGATAATGACGACGCTAATGATGATGACGATGATGACGACAATCTAAGAGCTGCAACAATGAAAGTAACGATATTATGCGCGATTGCGATGATGATGATGATGATGATGATGATGATGATGATGATGATGATGATGATGATGATGATACTGACGCTAGTGACGTCACAACGTATAATGACGTCACGGGGGACGCGAAAATTACGTTGGCGAAACAATTTGCATCATCCTTGATGACGAAATGAAACTATTTGAGGAAAAACAAATCGTTAACGACCACACAATAATAAGAACAACAACAACAAAAATGAAACTAATAAAATTATAAAATTATTATTAATTAATTAATATTAATATTATAATATAAAGAACATTAATATTAATATTATAATATTATTAATATTATAAAATTGTGACGTTGTTTCGAATGGAATGGATGAACAGTTTGAGAAGCATTAACAGGCGGATGACTTTTGTGTCATTTTTATCTCTAGGTTAGATGTAATTACAGCTGCCGTTTCTGCTACTGATGTCAGGAATGACGTTTTTGTTGTTGCTACTGTTGTTGTTGTTGACGTTGTTGTTGCTACTGTTGTTGTTGTTGATGTTGTTGTTGTTGTTGTTGTTGTTGTTGGAATTGTTAATGTTGGCAACAATATAGTTGATGATCCTATTTATAGTTGATGGCGTTGAATTTTCTTAAATTGAGATTGCTATGGTATTCATGTCACATGTTGTTGTTTTTTTAGTTTTTGTTGATTATATGTAGCAACAGTTTTGTTGAAAGTGTGCGTGTGTGTGTGTGTGTGGTGCGTGCGTGTGTGTGTGTGTGGTGCGTGCGTGTTTGTGTGTGTGGGGTGTGTGTGGTGTATGGAATGTTTGTGTGTGTGGTGTGTGTGGTGTGTTTATGTTTGTGTGTGGTGGGGTACGTGTGTATGCGTATCGTACGTGATTGTTTGGGGTGTGCATGGAGTGTGTGTGTGTGTGTGTGTGTGTGGTGTGTGTGTGTGTGTGAACGTTTGTACTTTAGACCGTGATTACTCTCGTTACGAAACACACAGAAACTCTTTGAGAACTAATGCTCTTATGCTAATGTCCGCCAGCACGCAAACACAATCGCAGGTTTTCGCAAACAAGCAAACAGAATACGCAAACGCGTATTTAAATACTTCTGATAAAATGTTTTCTTGGCTTGAAAATAAAACCCACGCACACACACACACACATACGTACACACACATGTACAAGCACATACATATACACATACACCCACATATGCATATACCAATACACATACACACTCCAAAACGCACGCACACACACATGCAGATACACATACACCCACACATACATATACAAATACAAATACACAAACAGACATACACAAACATACACAAACAGACACACAAAGAGACACTGGCACACTCATCAAGATAAACACATAGAGATATAAAACAGTTGATACATTAAAATTTTTTCAAATTTCAAATAATATCGTCATTGAAAAATTATTATAAATCCAATACCTATGCCGAGAATTTTTCACTCTCTTCTATAAAACATCAGAGAAAATATGTAAAAAGATCTCATATGTTCTGTGAAAAAAGCGCAAGTAAGAAAATGTGTTTTATCAATAGGAAAACCTATTCAGGAGAAATTTCTTTTAAATTATAAAATTCTATGTCTCCCTTTCTCTCTCTTTCTTTCTCTCTCTCATTTTCTCTCTCTCTCTCTCTCTCTTTCTCTCTCTCTCCAACTCAGACGGTTGAAGATAACATCAATATAGACCGTTCACAGTACAGCAATCAATCAATAAACAATTTGATACCCAAATGACTGGCACAACATGTAAGATGTCTGTAGCTGGTAGTGCAGTGGTCGGATTCGATCACACGAAGATCCTCACCTGTCACATGCTATTTGTGTGTGATGTGCGGTCTTACGTGTACTTAAATGCACTATGTCTTTGCTCTTGTTGGTATCTCTGATAAGTACTGATAATTACAAAGTGGAGGTTTGTAAAGTTTGTAAATATGTAAAAGTGGGTACAAAAATATCTGTAACTAAACCATCTCAACAGATTTAAACCTATGTACTTAAACATTTTGTTAGCATCATTTGCACCAAATGATCTTAAAAAGTTAAAACATATATACCTAAGCATTTGTTAGCATGAAAGAAGTTTTATAATTCGCACCAAGTGACTCATGTGGAACAAGTTTAGCAACGTTCAGGAACAAATTTCAGACCACGTATTTCTATAAAACTAAACCAAAGAATCAATTCCAAGTAGAGTTTAGTATCTTTATATAAACTTAAAAAACTACTCGTTAGGTTTTAAATGTCAAAATTTTTTTAAATTTATCAAAATTTAACGAGATTCTGAAAAATAATATGTGATGCACCTAAATTAGTCTTTGATAAGAGTTACAGAAAATCTTATTTGTCTGAACTTTGAACTCTGAAGTAATCTACGGATCCTATGGAGCGTTGCCCGGGGTGGTTCATTGAGATTGACCCCTACCGAAGTTCAAATTTCACATAATTTCACAAAATTTATAATTGAAATTGTTTATTTGAATAGTTATTGTGGCATTAAAAAAATAAATAGTCATGGTGTGAACAAACATAAGCTAAAGAGATTGTAATTCTTTTTGTAAAAATACAATCCTCCTCTGCAGATATTTACTTGCAATGCCTTTGTCGTTTGAAAGTAATCGCATAGGTAGTTTTCGTTTTGTTGAAACCACGGAACTTTGGAAAGAACTTTTTTAAAGTTATCAACTTTTCAAGTTCGCAAACAAATTAAATGTCGTTTTAACTGAAAAATCATTGGCTCCAAACCATGCACTCTCTTCAGGAGGCAATCACGATCATTAACGCGTGTAGATGTATGTATGTTCGTTTGCATGTGTTGAAACATTTGTATCATCATCATCATTATTATTTATATTATTTTCATTACTATTCATATTATTATTTTTATTATTTTTATTATTATTTATATTATTATTCTTATTTGTAGTAGTTGTAGTAATAATAGTAGTTGATTGATTGATTGATTGATCGTACTGGTAATATTACAAATATTATTTTTATTACTATTAGCAGTAGTAGTAGTAGTAGCAGCAGTAGTAGTAGTAGTAGTAATTTTTTATGCAAATTATGTTTGCACATTAACTCAGGTGGAAATATGGAAGTCTCTGGCTGTAGAGGAACTGATTCTGCAGTAAGCATTTGCTCTGGATAGATTATCAAGTGTGTGTGTGTGTGTGTGTGTGTGTGTGTGTGTGTGTGTGTGTGTGTGTGTGTGTGTGTGGTATGGAGTCAGTGTGGTGTCTGTCTGTCTGTCTGCTTGCGTGTGTGTGCGTATGTTTTGCTAATGTTCATATCATTGATTCAGCAACCATTGTAGCAAATGTTTATTCTGATAAAATACACGTACGTGTGTGTGTGTGTATTTGCGTATAAGTGGCTGAGTATGACGATGTATGTACGCTCATGTATGTGTGTGTTTGTATTGTATCTCGATGTACAGATGTATACACATACACACACATCCACTTTGTGTATTACGTTAGAGAAATAATGTTTACAATCATACGCAAACATATACACACACAAAAACGGTGGTAATAGACCATAATTTTACAATATCCTATAAATTCTACCGAGTGTTTGGCGTTAATATGTTTGTGGTTCGTTTTTTCGATTTTTATCACTAAAATTTTTTGGGAAGACGTTTAGTTTATTTAAATTCAAATTAACCTATTTTCCGAATTCATGCTGCAAATAATCATCATCAGTGCAATTTAGTTCACATAGGGAAATATTCACTTTGTCAAAGTGAACTTAGATGGAAATTAGGTGTCAGATTTCTTTTTTGGCTGGTCCATCTTTGTTGGTTTCCTTTTCTTCATCGATAGCATCATATTCTTCTTTGTCTTTATTTACGATGTTAGTTTTTAATTTTCCATGAATTCGGAAAATAAGTTTATTTTAAATTTTAATAAACTAAACGTTCTCCAAAAAACTTTAGTGAGAGAAATCGAAAAAACGAACTACAAACATATTAACGCCAAACATTCGATAAAATTTTTAGAATATTGTAAAAACATACAAAAACGCATACAAACTACACACACACATACGTACTTACTTACATACAAACATACATACATACATACATGTTTGACGGTTCAGTGTCACTCATCATGTTTTGGTTTTAACATACATACAAACATACATACATACATACATACATACATACATACATACATACATACATACATACATACATACATACATACATACATACATACATACATACATACATGCATGCATACATACATACATACATACATACATACATACATACATACATACATACATACATACATACATACATGCATGCATACATACATACATACATACATACATACATACATACATACATACATACATACATACATACTTCCGGGATCTTTGAAGCACCCACCTTCGAGCAGAAAACGAAGGTCGCTCAATGTCGTCAACGCCAACATCTCAAAGACGAGTGAAGACTCAAGGGTCCTTGATACCGCTGTCGATATGAAGAGTAAATCGTCACTGGCTGAAAAATTTTTTTGAAAAATTATCGGGCTGTCGGTTAGTTGACCATGTGCCCAAGCAATCACGTGGTAAGTTTGGCCGGATGTAGAAGGATATTTTGAAAAACATCTGTGATAACCCATCAAATGCCATTCAGGTTGCTATTCATTCCCCGCTTGATTCTCCGAAAGGATCTTCGAGGTGGAGAGAAAAAAAACATCAGCGCAAAAATTAATAGCAGATTAGATGCTTTTGGAGAGGGCTCATTGGAAGAGTTGATGAAATCTGTCGAACCAATTATAAAGGGGCAAGATGAAAGGGTTCGTAAACCAAAGCTTAGTGCTTTAGTCAAATGCAAAATAGAACAGGGAAACGTGAGACATGCTATGAGGATTTTAGCATCGACGGATACGATGGCTCCAGATTCGACAAACACTATCAACTCCCTAAAGAACAAACATCCTCCCGCTCCGTTAGACAGAAAACCAAGTCCCAACAAAGAATCGTCAAGCGTTACAGTTAATCCCCAACAAATTATGTTGTGCTTGAGGCAGTTTCCAAAAGGAACCTCAGGAGGTAGAGATGGCCTAACCCCACAGCATTTAAGGGATTTAACGCATGATAAAATAGAAACAGCAGAACTTATCAGTGCTGTGACCGGTTTTATCAATCTGCTGTTGAGTGGCGTTTGTCCACCCGAGGTAGTTCCATACTTGTTTGGCGGGATTGGTGGCCTTGTCAAAGAAGGATGGTGGTGTCAGACCTATTGCCATTGGATGTGTATGGAGACGCTGGGCTGCAAAATGTGCGTTATTGGTCATCAAGGACAGGGTGGGTCCAATTCTCCAGCCTCAGCAGGTCGGTGTCGGGATTAGCGGTGGAGCAGAAGGAGCGATACACGCTGTCAGGCGATTCGTCAATAATATGAAGGAAGATGAAGGCTTTCTAAAAACTTGATTTTTCAAATGCTTTCAATTCGATTCGTCGTGACCATATGCTTCAATGCATCAAATCTCGGCTCCCAGAAATTTTCAATTTTTGCTGGTTGGCGTACGATGCTGATTCATTCCTGTCACTTGGTAACAGCATCATATTTTCATCAGAAGGTGTGCAACAAGGGGATCCTTTGGGACCGTTGCTCTTTTTGCTGTCGATCGACCCACTGGTAAAGGCATTTCGATCTAAATTTGTTGTCGCATACTTGGACGATATTGCGTTGGGGGGATGTGTAAAGGACCTAATGGATGATGTGGAATTGATCAACAGTAATGGTCGTGAATATGGTCTCAAGTTGAATTTAAAAAAATGCGAAATCGCTACAAATTCAACAGCTTTATCTCTCGCCCAATCAAATATTAAAAGAATTGAGATGAATGGCCTAGAATTTTTGGGTTCGATAGTTTGTAAAGGAAAACGCCATGATAATTTTTGGGCTAAAAAGCTGGAGGATTTTAAACATATTATGTCAATGATGACGGAGATTGGCAAGCATGACGCCCTTGTCTTGTTGACGCAGGCAGCATTCATTCCAAGGCTGTCATACTTTTTACGTACATCTCCTGGCCCGTCTCAACAAAAGTCAGATGAATTAAACAACGAACTACGCATGGGTTTTCAGAAGATATTTAATGTGTTTTTTGATGATAAAGGTTGGAAGCAGGCTATATTACCGGTAAATATGGGTGGACTGGGTTTGTTTTCAGAACTTAAGTTCGCCCTCGACCGAGTGTCTCATCTTTCCGTCCACGACGCCCTGACTATTGTCCGAAGCGCCCTCAGTTTGCCCAAAGTGATGTATTTTCTTCGTACATCCAGCTACATTAACCCATCGTTGTTGGGCAAATTTGATGATGTTTTGTGTACTGCCTTGTCACCCATTTGCAATGTTCATTTGACTGACAGTGGCTGGTCCCAGGCTCAGCTGCCGGTGCGGTATGGTGGTCTGGAGTTACTCAGTGTGGTTCAGTTGGCACCAATCGTTTATAAATCTTCTGCCGCTGCCACCCTTGACCTCCAGTCCGCCTTGCTTTGCCGATTTTGTTGTTGCTGTGATATCCCACCACTGCCGACCACACCTGAAAGCCCTTCACAAGCTCAAATTTTAGATGAGCAATATAAGAAGACTTTTCATGAACTTCTGTCTTCTGGTGTCGGTGCTTCTTCCTCCGCCCGCTCATTGGCTGCAACTAGTGATGTTAGTTGTGGTTGGTTGAGGTCGTGGCCCAACACTTCCGTAAGCACCAGACTCGATGACGAGTCTGTTAGATTTGCCGTTGATTTCAGACTTGGCCTAAGTATACAAAATAAATATCTGTGTCGTTGCGGCGCGGAGGCGGACGAATTTGGTCATCATGGTTTGGTTTGCCGTTTAGGTGGAGGCCGTCAACTTCGTCATTCTGCTTTGAATGATTACATTTGCCGGCTTTTTTCTAAAGCTTCTATTCCTGTTTTAAAGGAACCATCTGGCATTTCAGTGCAAGATGGCAAGCGACCAGACGGTTGTACTCTTACTCCCTGGAGAGCCGGTAAATGTTTGGCTTGGGATGTTACGGTTCCTGGTACCTTGGCCGAGCGCTACGTTCACCTTACCAGCAAAGAATGTGGTTTGGCTGCAATCAAGGCATCGGACGAAAAAATTAAAAAATATGAACACGCCCTGCCTTCCTATATGTATCGAGGTCCTTGGACCCATGGACCCCAATACTTCAAAATTTATTAAGACATTGTGTAAAATGATTGGTGTTCGGTCAGGTGACAACAGAGAGTTCTTTTTTGCAATAAACCACATCTCGTGTTTGTTGCAGCGATTTTTGCGTGTTTGTGTGTCGGAAAATATTAATTTAAACGCCGACGGGTGAGACTAACGATACATTAAACCCTTTTAATCAGATGTTTGACTGTTTGGTGTCATTCATCACGATTTGGTTTTAACATACATACATACATACATACATACATACATACATACATACATACATACATACATACATACATACATACATACATACATACATACATACATACATACATACATACATACATACATACATACATACATACATACATACATACATACATACATACATACATACATACATACATACATACATACATACATACATACATACATACATACATACATACATACATACATACATACATACATACATACATACATACATACATACATACATACATACATACATACATACATACATACATACATACATACATACATACATACATACATACATACATACATACATACATACATACATACATACATACATACATACATACATACATACATACATACATACATACATACATACATACATACATACATACATACATACATACATACCTACAACATACCGTACGTTAAGTTTGTTCCACGTCTCAAATCACCAGAGTTACTAAACCCTTAACATCAGTCATTGTATAAAGAGCTGCTAATTAGGCACATTCATAAAGCTTAAATGCGTTATAATGTATACCACTTGACTATATATATATATATATATATATATATAATTGTCATGATTATTTTCATAATTAAATGTATAAATAAAGATTATACTACTTGAATATGGCAAATATTTCATAAATGGATGATTTTTTTTTCGTTTTATTCAATCATTATTCTGTTTTCACAAGCTAATAACACACATACAACACCATAAACACATACACACACATACATGTACACACCACACGCACACACACACACACACGGTAAATCCACGCATTAGACACACAAACATTGCATTGCATGTGATAGGCTGGGATCATTCTAAAATCGAACCTGGTTTCTGCAGCAGTCGGATCAGGCCCCTTAACCATTACACCATTACATCACCGTATACATCACATATATATTTAGTTATGTAATACTGAAAATGACCATGATGACCGTTCTAACCACGATGGCTTTCAAATGATGACGATGATGATGATGATGATGATGATGATGATTATGACGAGGATGACGATGACGATGATGATAATGATGACGATGATGATTATGACGATGATGATGATGATGATGATGACGATGACGACGATGATGATGATAGTCATGGTGATGATAACGATAAATGTTAGTTTGATGAGAGTATAAATCTTTACAATTAAAACCTTAGCTCAGGTATTTCAACGTCATGTTTATGGCGAAACTCCTCCTTCAATGACGTCATTAGTACGTTCATGTTTATGCAGATGTTTACTTTTTTGTCTTTGTTTTTTGTTCATAATTTTGTTCAATATTCTTTGTTTGCAATTAGGTTTGTTATTATTTTGTCCGTAATTAAATTTATTATTATTTGTTTATAATTATGTTTATTATTCCTGGTCTATATTTATGTTTATTATTCTTATTTATAACTATGTTTAGTTTTCTCTGCTTACAATTTTGTTAATTATTCTTTGTTTGTGTTAACTTTATTACAAATTATTGGTATTGTATTTTTTCTTATCGCCATTATAGTCTATGTATGTTGTCGTTAAATTGACAACTAATTTATATTTCTAGATATTTTTGCTAAATAGTTTTTATTATTTTATTTTCATAGAGTAACTCAATGACAGATCAAATTTTTAATCATTTTCAATTTTCAGTTAGCTAGCTCATTTCCTTTCAATGTTGAAGCTGAAATTGAAATTATAAATACAATTCCCATATTTGGCATTTAAAACCTCTATCTACTCTATCTAAACGTGTCGCTGATATTTGTGACTTTGTTGTGTGTGAAAGAAACTATTTTTATGTGTGTGTGTTCGTGTGTTTGTTTGTATGTGTGTGTTTGTGTGTTTTTAAGTGTGTGTGTGTGTGTTTGTATGTGTGTATGTGAACGTGTTTGTATGTGTGTGTAAACGTGTTTGTATGTGTAAATGTTTGCATTCGTAAAGGAAACGTCTATGTAGATATGTACTTATATAAAAAAACGTAAATGAGATTGGTTTGTGTGTCTGTTGTT